CCGGATATCAGCTCTCTCAAACATATCCAAGGGACTGTAATGTTCAATACTATATTTCTAGTAAACAGGTGTAACATATTAATTTTTATTTTAAGGGAATTAATTTCTTTTTAATGTCACTAATTGTGAAAAAAATGTTATCAGCATAAAATGTATATAGCTATGTACCTTATAAAATGCATTTAATTCAATTCTTGCTTTAAAACTATTTATGTTGTCAGTTAATTTTTAACATTGAGTGAATCGAATTAAAGCATCACTTTACCCAGCGTCTGTCGTATGTAACTCGATGACATAGTCTTTTGGACGTTTTATTGTAGCAACTTTAGCGTAAATGGTTTTGGATTCCGGCTTTAGGACGTTATGAGCGCAGCTCCAGTTGCTACTGCCGATAACAAGTTGGCCAGGTTTCCATGACGTAACATCAGGTTGGTCTTTCTTGAGGGCAACGAGAATTTTATTTCCTTTGCACAAAACTCTCTGAGACAATGATAAAACGTTAAAGTATATACTTAAAAACCACAAACGGTTTTCAAATTAGGGAGACCAACATTCAACCAATACCACGGCTTTAAGGGTTTACGCATCATTTTGTCGTGTACCGCTGATATTTTATCATTCTGGGCGCATCGTCGTATCATTTTAGACAAAGCAAACATTGAAAAAGAGCATGCTTGATGGAAAACGACTTGAAAGACACCTTTGAAGTAAGTGTGTTAATATAAGTGCCTTTACAGAATATAATGATCATTGAGTGTTATATTTTATCTTGTTTATATCAAGGAATTGTTTGATTTCTGTGTTTTAATGAAAAGAGCTAGGACAGGCTTGGAGAAAATGACCATTTTAAATACTTTTAAATTGAAAATTTTCTGTTGTCAATTAAAATATTGATTAAGTATTACTGTGAGTATCACAGAATATTGCACCCAAATATAAGTTGTTTAATTTTAAAAAAAAGTCCTACAAGCATGAAAACTGATCGATTTCTTCGTACAGTATCATGGGTCCGCACTTAAAATTGTGGCACCGTATACATTAGCTCCAGACGTGCACTGCATCATAAGGATTAACGTTATGCTGCATTAACTTATTTGCATTTATTTATTGTTACCCATCTGGGGGACCTCTAGAAGTATATTAATCATTTGAAACACGGAGCAAATGCAAATACGAAAGATGCCGCAGTTCTAGAGGCAAACCTAGTTCTAGTGTGTGCCCGGCGTAAACACATGGGACCACGGTCTTATTTGAAAGAATGTCAGTAAATACAATGGATGAGTTAAAGATCCAACTCGTGACCTCTAGACTGAAACTATAGTGACTAAAATTCTTAAACACAGTGCCTTTCACAGTGCAGCAACATATATTATGACATATAAATGTCACAGCAACGTAAAAAGATTCCGTATAGCAGAATTTATTGTGATTAAGGTAAATGTGCATTACGTGTTAGTCCAATTATTACAGATAATACAAACTATGTTTGTTCTACTCATACACCCAGAACAATTTGGTAAGACCACAATGAAAACTAGCCTTAAGAAATTTTAATACTCGCAATGTACAGGTTCATGCGGCAAGGCCAAGTGGTTTGCGTGTCGGACGTTTAATCCTAAGACCGCTTGTATATACGTGAGTTCGAACCCCGTCAGCGGCCAACCGATGTTTCCTTTAGCAAGAAACATAACCCTCATTGCTTCGTCCCGGTTGGTCTCAAGAAAGGATTCGAGAGTGATTTATAAAGCTGAAGTTTCCTTCACAATCTAACTAAAATATGTATGTGTAGACTAATGTACAGGTTGAGTTTTAACAGTGTTTTATGCTTTTACATAAAACATCAATATTTTAAAAATGATTAATACATTGTTGTGTTATATTGATAATACTCTATCAACAAATAGAGTACGAGCATGCCGACACAGAAATTAATACAGGGGGATTACTCAATTGTTGCCACCTTTCTTAAAGGTCCATTATGCCTGTTTATTTTTGCCATCTTGATACAGTTTTGAAAAACATACTCATTTGATAGATTCTCGAACTATCTTTTGTTCTGTTGGAAAATTGGTATAATTATAGTGAATAAGTATTTTGTATGGAAGTTAAAATACTATTTTGTTTGCAATTTGCTACCTTAACCCTTTACCACATATATACGCGAAACAACGCACTTTCGACCCCCCCCCCTTTTTTTAGGCCTGAAATAGTGAAAAAATGTCCTATTTGGGCCCCAAACACATGTTTTCGTTTGAGAAATGTTGCTAAAAAAGTGAGCACTTTTTTGGCGCCGCCCCCCATCCAAAAGATACATCAGGGGGTTGCCAAAAATTGGGGGGTTTGAAGGGGGGGCGGAGTCCCCCTCATCGCCAAGAAAATTTTGGACTTGTGAGGCTAAAAATGACCCCAGGTCGATCATAAGGTAACGTGTAACCAACGCTGAAAAGCCTTTGACTCTATCTCAATCCCTTGAGAAGTTGCAGCACTTTGAAATAAATTTTGATGGAAAAAATCGAGGCAAAATAGTGATTTTTGGCAATTTTGAGATGTCCCCTCGTTGCCATGGTAACGGGAAATTTAATACTGAGCATGCCGTTACAAAGGCAATGGTCCAGTTAACATTTGTGCCAAGTTTGATTAGTATTGAAGCATTTTTCATAGTTTCATAGCAGTTTGAACTTGTAACAGGAGGTTTTTCAGTGAAAACGGCCATTTTTCACAATATGCTCATGGGGGAAAGGGTTAACGATACATCACTACATGTTTGGCGCTACTTTTTTCAGCTGTAGAACTCGCGCTTTATCCATTATTTAAACAATTTTTAACACATGTTTGACATTTCTAAAGAATTAAATTAAAATATGGATTTTTGAGGTATATTATGCCTTTAAAGGGTCATTTCTTTTCTGTAACATGCGTAATTTGTGTGTCCTGTCAATTTGTTAAATATCAAACTTTTAAATGTAAAAAAGAAATACTGTTCTAGAATTATAAGCTGTGGCTTGCTTGTGTGTTGTACATTGTATTATGTGTGAGCTAAAGTTCAATTAATGATATCAGTTTCCTAGTCTATCAAGAAGTTGAACTTCGCAACATACATAAAATACAACTGCTGAGAAAGCATATAATTTTTTTTAAATAGGAATTTGCCTATCAAAATTTTCATAAATTCTACCTACAATAAAAATAGATAAAAACGGTTACACATACATGTATGTGATCAGCTCGTGTCAATGTTTTTCTGTGATCATTTGACATTCCGACAATTTTACTTTCGGAAAAGGATATAAAAAATGTCCGCATCAAGAACACAAATGTGTCATATATATAAAGATGTTTTCATTAGTTTCTGGTTATAGCAGCTAAATAGTGTTGCAAAATGTTTGCGCACATATTTAAAACATTCAAACTTTCCGTATTGTATGCAAACTCTCTAAATAAAATTCATTTTAGCAAGAAAATTTCGCATTTCTGAACTTACCTCTTGACCTTTTCCATGCGTGCAGGATGATAAATTATCGACGGTACGCGGAACAATGATGCATAAATCCTTCACATCGTGAATACATCAATAATTAATGCACTATATGAATTTTAATTTGCAAAAAGAGATCATTTTTCAGAAAAAAATGTGACTTGTCATTTGAACGATTCTAATCATGCTTTTATTGAGTGCGGATGAATATAAAAAGCTTTAATATTTTGTACTTTAAATAGATAAGTCAAAAACTGTTAAGGAAGTAGTAAATAATAACAAATACATATCCCTGTAACCATGATAAATATATTACAATACATACCCGATAAAATAATGACAAAAAAAATAAATTAAACTGTGAAGGAACATCAAGTTAAGAAAGGTAAAACAAACTACTAGTGAAATAATTGATAATGGTTTTTCATCTGGGTATGAGATGATTTTACAAAACTGGTAAACTTTAAACCTCACTACACAAGGAGGAAGAGGCGATGTTTCCGCTTTTTTTAAATTTCATTACAAAAACGATAGCCAGTGATTTTTAAAGAAAATTTGAGCCGCGTCACGACAAAACCAACATAATGGGTTTGCGACCAGTATGGTTTCAGACCAGCCTGCGAATCTGCGCAGTCTGATCAGGATCCATGCTGTTCGCTATTAGTTTCTCTACTTGTTATAGGATTTGTAAGCGAACAGCATGGATCCTGATCAGACTGCGCGGATGCGCAGGCTGGTCTAGATCCATGCTGGTCGCAAACCCATTATGTTGGTTTTGTCGTGACGCGGCTCAAATGCTTTCTTTTTTTTCTCCTGATATGATTAAATCTAGATGTAATTGTTCTGTTGACTTTAGAATAAAATAGAAAAAAACAACCTTCTAAATAGAGTACATTGTATATCGTTATTGTATTGTTTTGACAAATATCAACTTCTTATCACTATGTTTCCAGATTCTTAAAATTCATGTCTGAGGTGTTAGGACAGATTACTCAATCAAAATTATTCTATAATATACTACAACAAAATAAACGGTATAGCTTACAATTGATATAAATTAAAACGTTTAAAATTTACCTTTACTGCAGGTATTTGGTCTAGATCTATAATTGCCGACAACTTCCCTTTACTTTGAAGAGTTAATTTCCCACCAGTTTCTGGTTCTATGTAATGAATGTCATCATTAAATTCGGAACCATCATCAGTGACGGCGGACCCAATACCGACAAAAACAGTCAGTAAAAAAATGGCAGATTGCATTTTCAATCCAGATTACTTATTTTAACATATCCTGTTTTAAGTTATTTCATATTTTTAATGCGTTCAACTCTGAAATGCTGCTATCTAACTATTTTGTACAAATATCCAATAATTCAAGTTGTCAGTCTCGAATTGAACCACTCTTAACCACGTCAAATTCCTTAACCAGTTATTTAACCAGCATTTAAACATGCTGAAACTGGTTTACCGGTTATCTGAGGAACTGCTCAACGCGCACAGGATCTTCCTTGTTGTATTTTAATCGCCGCTCGAATCTTTAAACAACTTATTACGTTCTGAGCTCTTCTCGAGTTCGGATAAGTAAATTAGTGGGTAAACAATCATAACTTTGTAAAAGAAAGAGAATGATGATGTAATTGTATCATAAAACCTCGAATACATTAAATATGGTTATATTACTGGTGTTTCTACTTGTAATAGGAACTATCTACAGTGGAGAAGCCCTGTACTTTGAGGACGGATATGACCATCATTATACATATTCCTCCGAGTCGGACATTCTCGGCTTGCATAACATAACAACTATTATCAAGGTATGGTTTTGTTGCTCAGATTATAGATCTGTTTGTAATTTTCGAAATAACAGGCAGTACTTGATGATTGAAGAAAATGTATCTGCATTGTGAGGAAACAATGCTCTTATTATATTTTTGTATTTTCGTTTATTGAAATGCTTTGCAGTAATTAACGGGATAAAAGCAGTGTATTGTATTTAATACAACTTCGCAGGAAACACATCAATATCACTTTATCTGAATTAGTTTTTGAATGTGGATGAAGATTGTATAAAATGGCTAGCTATTAATGCAAACACATAGATATATGCTCGCTTCATTTTTTAATATAAAAAAACAGTACTAAAATCTTATAGAATGAATTGTATTACAACATAAGAATGTAGAACATGTAAACAATATGAAGAAAATGTCTTGTGTTAAAACGAAATATATTCCACCGACAGCAAGTGCTCACTTGGCCCTTGGTTAAGTATATTTCGATATTTCACTGAAAAATAAAAAAATACCTCACTTTTTAGGGGTTGGGAGGGGGTAGGGAGAGGGTGGTTGTTTATGTTTTGGTCGCTAATAAGTTATTAATATAGATAATAGTTAGTCGAATCAAGTTCTACAATTTCAAAAACATTGTAACTTTAACCGAAAACACGTACATATAAAACGAGCATATACGTAGGTACATGTTTCATATGCACATTATTTATCGAGACGTTATCATTGGCATAACGTTTAAATATTTTTATAACTTTGCCAATGTTTTATTCTTCAGCAATACAAAGGAATAGAATACATTTATATCTTTTAATTATATTCAATTGCAATTACCCATTATCAGTTGTTGGAGTATTATAAAGTATGTCCTTTTAGAATAATTAAAAGAAAAAAGACAATAGTAAGAAAAATCAGATAATTATGCAAAATGATAATCGTACAAAAGATTTGAAAAAGTTTATTGCGCAGCGCATAAAACATCATTATGTGCACCCTCTTTCAAATTGTAACGGTTGTAGTGGAGGTAGTGAACATATCATAAGTCATGGTAAGTTTATATGCCACTAGTTATGGTTAATGCACGTGCTTTTTGTTAGTGCACATGTCACTAGTTATGATGAATGCACATTTCACTAGTCATGACTAGTGTATTGTCATTAGTTATGATAAGTGCACGTGTCAATCGTTCTTGTTAGGGGAGCGGTGGCCTAGTAGTTAAGGTGTCTGCCTCTCAACCTAGGGATCATGGGTTCGAGCCCTATTTGGGTCACGACCATGTATCTTCATATGACACAAGTACTTGTTGGTTCCAGGAAGCGGACTCGAAAGTGATTTATATAAGTTGCAAGAACTTGTTTCGCAATCGAGCTTAAATAAATATGTTTAAACCTATCGTTATTGTTAGTGCACATGTCATTTACTCTAGTTAGTACACATTTTACTAGTTACGGTTAGTGCACATATCACTAGCTATGGTCAGTGCAATGCCACTTTTTTTGATTTTGGAAAGTGCTCATGTTACCAGTTATGGTTAATGCACATATCCATTGTTATGGTTAGTACATATGTTACTTGTTCTAGTTAGTGCACACGTCACTTGGTATGGTTAGTGCACATATCACTTGTTATGGATAGTGCACATGTAACTTGTTCTAGTGAGAGTACATGTTACTTGGTATTGTTAGTGCACATGTCAATTAGTATGTCAAGTGCACACGTCACTTGTTATGTCAAGTGTTCATGTCATTTGTTATGAATAGTGTAAGTGTTACTAGTTATGGTTAGTGCACATGTCATAAGTTAAGGTTAGTGTACATGCTACGTGTTCTAGTAAGTGTACATGTCACTGGGTATGATTAGTGCAATGTGAAAATACACTTGCTACCATTTTTATGGTAAGTGCTCATGTTACTTGTTTCTAGTGAGTGCAATATCACTAATTATGGTTAGTGCACATGTCACTTGATATGTCGATTGTACATGTCACTTGAAATGGATAGGGTATGTGTTACTAGTTATGGTTAGTGCATATTTCATTATCACTCGGTATGGTTAGTGCATTTGTCACTTGTTATGTATATTGCTCATGCCACTTGTTATGGTTAATGCACAAGCAACTTGCTATAGTTAGTGCATATGTATGGTTAGTGCATATCAACTTGTTTAAATAGTGCACATGCAACTTGGTATGGTAAGTGCACATGCCACCTTTATGTCTAGTGCTCATGTCATTTGGAACGGCTATATACATATCATTATAAGTGCACATGTCATTCGTTATGGTTTGTACACGTGTCATTAGCTATTTTTAGCGCACAGGAGACTAGTTAGGGTAAGTAAACATATCACTTGTTATGAATAGGGCACGTGTTACTAGTTATAGTTAGTGCACATGTCAATTGTTATAGTTTATGCACATGTTACTTGTTATAGTAAGTACATATGTCACTTGGTATGATAAGTGCACATTGTCTAGTGCACGTGTCACTTTCTATAGCAAGTAAACATTTCACTTGCAAGAGTTAGTGCACATGCCACTGATTATGGTTAGTGCACATGTCACTTGTTATGGCTGCTGTACAATTAACTTGTTATGGCCAGTGAATATCTCATTTGTTATGGTTAGTGCACAATCATTTTGTAATGTCACATGTTATGGTTTGTGCACGTGTCACTTGCAATGTACACATGTCAGAAATTATGATTAGAGCACATGTTAGTTGTTTTGGCTGTTGAACATGTCACTTGCTATGGCTATTGGACATGTCACTTGCTAGGACTAGTGCACGTGTCATTAGTTATGGTAAGTGCATATGTCACGTGTTATGATTAGTACCCATTTCACAAGTTATGGTTTGTTCAGAAAGCGGCTGAAATTATAGTTTAAATAAGCACACAACGGGCGATTATTACTCCAAGATATTAAATATTAAAGGATATTTAACAGATTATACATGTATAATATTCCTAACTGGCACTTAAGATGCACCAAAAGTAAGGTGTTTGTATGTTTACGAAATGAATTTTGTTTGTCATCTGTTTACTTATGATATGCAAGGTTTAGTCTATTTAAAGTTTGAAATGTTAAGATTTATTATATTTAGTGTCTCAATCGTTATGCGAATCAATAATACAGAAAAAACTCTTTTATATTTTATATTCTATCATTTATATTTTCTGTCATTTATGAAAGGAATAAAACAACCGGAAGTAAAGCAATAAATTATAACCATTTTCAACTTTATATAACGAAAGGTTTTTACGATTTTAAGTTTTTAGTCTGACATGTATGTAAATACATTTGCATGTTTAACTGACGAATCTTGTGTAGGCGGTGCTAGGGAGCCATGCAAAAGTTTATATTTACTGTCTCAATCAAACAAATCTTTAGCATTTTCATTGTTTTTGTCGTGTTGACTGAAAGATTTTCCATTGTTTTACTATTTTCATTAAAAATGTCTTTCTTTCTAAGTTTTTAAATGAATATGAACTGTTTTCTTGTTCGTACTTTTTGATAATTAAAATTTGATCAAGTACTATGAAATCAAAGTACTCTAAGTCCTGGAAACTTGCAAAACAGTAGCGGGTGATGAAAATAGAAAATTTATTGTGGGAATGGGATGAAAAGCAACAGTTTTAATTGTTTTAAATTAAAAATAGGGAAATATATTTTTTTGTATACAGGTATACGGAAAAACTATATTCTGTCATATTCAATCGCAACTGTTTCGTACAAATCATGAAAACGTGCCAACCCATACGTTATAACCAGTGTTTTAGTGTACAATATGTAAGGCTCGAAAAGGGAAAAGAGCCTCAGATGGAACACTATTAGTAATTTTGAGAAGGTTCTCTATAACGACAGGACTTGCAACGCTATCAAATGTGTCTTTCTGAAGTATGTTATAACAAACAAACAATATTAATTCATAAGACTCATTTTGCAGTTCCGTATTCGGTCAGTAAATGATACAGACGGCGGGACGTCTCTACACCAGTTAATGGTTGATAGTTTTGTGCAAGTCTCTGAAAAAGGATATGGTAAGTCGTATTTTAGCTAAAACACGTGATGCAACGTGCATTCAAACAGGAAGAATTGTTTCCAAAATAACGGAGCAATAACCCGTTTATATCAATTATATATTTTTCAAACTCTTTAATACTTGACCTAAAAACAACAAAAAGGTTAAAATTTAAAAATAAAAAGAGACATTTAACAAAAACTTTAGTAGTAGGGACAAAAAAAATGAACAGAAATTATTTTTTGATTTAGAAATTCATGTATAGCTTTTTATCGATCCAAGGCCCAGAGTTGTTCTGCCGTGCCTTTATCAATTTTGAAGGTTATGCGAACTTTTAGAGGATTTAAACGTAGATAAAACGAATGATATATTACCTAACTTAAAACGCAAATTCAACAACTTATAATAAGACTTTGTTTATAAAAAAGAAAATTGGAGATATTACAAGGAAGTACTCTTAATTTATGTCAATAAAGTAAACAATTTAAAATACGAGAGTGGGATTATTCTTCAGGGGACAATTTCTTATCTTGCTATTAATCAAAGAATGTTTGCTTTTATATATCAAGAGCATTACTATTGGTCGTGTATCGCAGCACTTTTGATAAACTTAAAAGAAACGTGTTTGACAAGTTGAGATTTATGAATCCATTTATCTTCTATTTGTATGTAGTAACTTGATCCGCTTGTCTATAATATATCTACGCATATTTGAACGATAGATACAAAGCTCTTATATGTTATTTAAATTATCAGTGTACAAATATAATTCAGAAGTGCAGACTAAACATAAATAAAACACAAAAAGTCATTATTTTGCACTACCAATAATTCAAATGAACTCTAAAGTATAATGTCTATAACTTTATAAAGCATAAATTTCTAACTTTTAAATTGCCTTGCAAAATTTAATGTTTAGCACGGTTTTTCACGTGCTTAACTATTCTGTTCACTTCCATTTCAGTTGTGGACAACCCCGAACATTGGCAATTCACTCATAAGTAAGTTTAATCAAATTGTATGTATTTAATCATTATAATACTATTAGAAGAATATTATAATTTGCTTGCCAATATTTAACCATTCAATAAAACCAAAAGTAATAGAAATGATATAATCATAAGCTGATCTATTTATAGATTCTTTTTCACGGTGGGAAACGACGGTGTCGTGACATTCGTGCATTTTCACCCAGAAGAGAAGAATGAAGTCCTAACAATGAAGAAAGTTCTAGCAAGTACTTTGTCCATAAAAAGACAGGTAAGTCATTAAAAAGCATTTGCAGAGTATTTTCAAAATGATATAAAGAGTCTTTAAAGAAATAATCATATCGGTCCTGAGCGGTGTTTATCGGCTATATAATATAACACCTGTTTGAAGTTTTGGTGCGTAAAATTGATCACAAAGGTAGAAGCCTGACACTGTGGTTACTTTTCCGCATGGAGATTACGCTATTTTTTCAATCGGAGAGTATTTCCGCTGCCGATTTTCGTATTTGGCTGTTCTATTCCGCACCCTACAGTCGCTCAGGTCTTAAACAAAATAATTTACAAAAAAAATTCACTTTCACTTGTAGTCTGGTTCCCGTCGTACTATAAAATTTAGTACTATTGAACAGAGAGAAAAGGGCAGGTAATCCAGACTATTTCACTTGCAGAATCATTGATATTTTCACTTTTCAAGAATTATTCTAACAGTTTTCAACAATTCAAACGGATCGTATTGTGTTTACACCGATGCTCAATGGATAAATTTTCATCCAGCCAAAAATGTTAACATGCTGTTTATCGTCAAAATAACATTAAAATGTCACAACGTTAAAGCAAAAATCTTACTTTTTCAGTAATAATTTTCATTAGCGAGTAAAATATAAAATATAAACAAATATAAAGAATTGACAATATAAACACAAAGCTTACGACGAAAGAGAGGCGAAGTGTGAAAGCGTGTCATTGAATAGTAAACATATAATGACTTGTATTTATTGAGGAGGAAAAACGTTATAGGCATTCTGTCTTAGCAACTTAAATATTCATCTTAAGAAAAAGATTAAAAATTCAAATTAAATACACGCACTTCTCGGTTTCTGATTGCATAGAGAAAATGTGGCATTACTTATTACTTAACTATTTTCTTAAAAATTGAGACATGCTTTTGTTTAACTCTTGAAAATTTAGATCGGAGAAAATCAAAGTCAGACAAAATATTATCAAATGTTACAGGTAGATGATGGCGATCACTGGAGATTTACGTCTAAGGAAGAAGATCACGCAGGTCATATTTGATCAATTTCTATTTTTATTCCCAAATTTCTTCAAAACATTATTTTATTTAGCCGATTCGCGTGTGGTAATTTAATTGGTGCAGCTCAAAAGTCTCATTGTCCCGGGCATACACTTTGTATCCCATATGTTATAAGACGATTAGAAATATACACACTATTTGCATTTATAATATATAATTGTTTGTATTTAGAATTAAAAATCTCTCGGTGCATATCTGAGGACTACCCTAGCAAACAGACATTTACCTTCAAATACGTCTAGCCTCACCCCATCAGACAAGATATATCTTCGAGCAAAAAGACGTTTGTTGATGAATGTGTGTTGCTAAAATTGACAAATAAAAACTATATAAATAAAATGCCAATTACAGGTGATCTAGAACATGAGTATGAGGCCACTCGCCACAGTGATGGTATAACATTCCAGCGCAAACATCAAAGCTTAAAAGATGTTCATAGACTTCATAATAAGGTTATCTATTATGTACTATTATCTCCCGTCTTTATTATATGGTAAAATATATAATCACTACAATATATTCACATTGATGAAAGTTAAAAGGTCAATTACGCATGACATTTTACCAGCTATATTCGATCTGTAGTCATAGTATGTGATAAAAACAGAACATATCTAATAAAATTGTGTAGTTTTAATTCTTACATATATCCATATTTGCTATAATTTTTCGAATTAAATGTGAAAATGATGCTATCATTAACAGGCATTCATTCAGGTAGTGTATCCCTGTATCGGTATTGTCATAAATACCTGCAATGAAGTTTTAAAAAAAGTTGTAAATGTCGATCGATTCGTTAATAATGATGTCAACTAAACTTTGAAAATGATTAGCTCATCCCTAATACGCATTTTGCATTTAAACGGGTGCAAAGTTTAAGTATATATTTTCTTAATATTATTTTCAGTCTGTTCATCTTGATCTGAGAGGTACACCAGTTCACGTAGATTCCATAGATAACATTACATTACGCCACACGCCATCTAAGGTGTCCAGGTGATTATCGAAACAAACTTAACTCTTCATTTATTCATCATTAATAAAACGTGACTATGTCATGAATAAACACAAAAACATCGATCCATGCTTAGTCACATCTTGTTTTTTATATTTACTTAACGGATAAATTTAATCTTTATAAAGTAAGTATCAGACAAGGATAATGCCATCATTTTTATATTTATCATTTTAGTTTGTTTAGTAAGATTTGTTTGGTGACCGGTTGTGCCGTTATCATGGAGTGTCCCAAATGATTAAGTCCCTATCAAACATAAGTCCCTATCAAACATAAGTCCCTATCAAACATACCATGAGGATACTTCTGTTCAAATGGTTACATAAGTAAATTAGTATTTTATGATAACATGCCCGTTCGCATGTTCGTAGTTACGGTAAGATCATTAATTAAAGAAAGACGATTTTTGTGTAAACTTGTAACGCAGATATTTTACCATCAATTTGGCAGGTAAGGCTATCCTGATGAGTATACGAAGGACTTCTTTGCTGCGCGGCTTAGATCGATTTAATAAACATGGGTTAACGGCTAAATACATTTCACAAACACAAACCTCTATCTGACCAACTTATGCTATAGCATATCTAGGTCCTGTAATAAAACATAAAACACAAATGATATAAAGTCAATGTAAATGACATCGAAATCAAAACTTACATTTGGTCATTAGAGTAATATCTGATATAGAAATAACCATGCCCTTTTAAAAAAAATATTCCTGTGATTTTCTGAGTAGTATCATTATATCTTTACAGTAAAACAATGGATGGTTTTCAAGAGATAGAAGATGTACATTCGGGAGGTAAATATAAGAGCCGCGTCATGACAAAACCAACATAGCGCGTTTGCGACCAGCATGGATCCAGACCAGCCTGCGCATCCGCGCAGTCTGATCAGGATCCATGTTGTTCGCTTACCAACCCTATTACAAGTAGAGAAACTGATAGCGAACAGTATGGATCCTGATCAGACTGGATCCATGCTGGTCGCAAACGCACTATGTTGGTTTTGTCATGACGCGGCTCAATTATGTGCAACCTTTATTCATTTAGTAACATGTAAATCCACATGTTCTTGACATGAGTGCTCTCGAAACGAATGAATGGTCAATATAATGATAATTACTGAGAAAAATACATGTTTAGCCTATGGTTAATAACAGTCGAATAAAATAAAAAATCCTATCATATAATACCTCCTGATAATGAAAACTTGACAGGTATCAGGTTAACGATAAGTTCTTATGAATAAAACATAAATATATATTCGTAATGTGACGACTCTGACAAAACAAAGTGTGAAATCCGGATGTTCGCATTTCCCCTATTGGTATCATAAAACATGTCCTATCTGTATCATAAAAAAATGAAGGTACATCATAAAAGTACCGTTATGAGGAAAAGAGCATAAGCTATATGCTACTGTTTGAAAATGTATAGGTTAATCTAACTTTGCGTTTATATAAAAGTATTGTGCATTTAGATAATCGTTTCATGCACAACCTTGATATTAATTGTTCGATATAGCTAGCTAAAAGGTAATAAAACAAACGTATTAACATTATTTTAAATCGATGTCCTTGCATTTTCAGAATTCCCAAAGATCGGCTCTATCTCAAAAAGTAAAGTGAAGATGACATCTAAAAGGTATCAAATATTTGACTAAAGGTAGTCTTACTGTAATACTTTCCCGCCCCAAAAATGTAACATGGGCTAATATCACAGCAAATCGGTTATTTCAGGAACGTTACTGCATTACAGTACTTACAATCACTCATCCTTAAGTGCTATGTACTGAATTCCGATTATAAACGGTTAAATATTATTGAATACCGAAGATTGTGAAAAATAACGTTCCGGACATGACCAATTTATTTCGATAATGGCCGATGCTAGAAGTTTTTTGGCGGGAAAGCATTGCAACAAGTTTACCTTAAGCCTAATTCTTGAGTTTACTTTTCTAACAAACTCCCATGAAGGCGCATTCCATCTTTGAATAAATAATGATGATGTTACACCTGTGAGTTTATTCTTTAGTTCTTTTTCAAAACTCTCAGGAGAAAATATTTGATTTTTCTACACACGATTCGCATATATGGTACCTGGTTTATATGTAAAGAAATAATTTTGATGTCAAAGCTTAAACTACAGGGAACTTACCCAAATAGTACAATTTGAACAAGACAAACAGTACGCTGAACAATTATTTTTCTATCTAACTTTTCATTTATCCTGTCATAAGGACAAGAAAATAGACGGTCCCTCCCACTTTTATGGTACGCCTAATGAAGTGTCGGTATCTATGAGCCGCGTCACGACAAAACCAACATGGTGTGTTTGCGACCAGCATGGATCCAGACCAGCCTGCGCATCCGCGCAGTCTGATCAGGATCCATGCTGTTCGTTAACACCAACGCTATTACAAGTAGAGAAACTGATAGCGAACATCACTATGTTGGTTTTTGTCGTGACGCGGCTCAATTATTTTCTGTCTCTTATTCTGTCTCATATTCTATTATGTTCGAAGGAAAATATTTATCCAAGTCATTACCGTATACCAAGTTCAGATAAGCAATCACAAATTGCCGCGAAAGTGAATATGTCCATAATGGAAGGTCTGTAATACCATAAATTATTAATATGTTGATAGTATTTAGTATCATAATTGACAACAAACACGAACAAATTGTATACTAATGTTGTTTGTAAGTGTGAGATACTTGATCCTACATGATATATTTATATATAGCAGATAAACAAAATGTACTTTAACACAATTCATCATATAATTGTTTGTACTAAACGGAGACATTGTCTTTTGTATTATTAGTAATATCAAATTGCTTTTTCACCTACCTTGCTTTTTCTAGTTAAAGACTTTAGACACAAGTGAAACTATTGGAAATAGACTTTAAAAAGCTAAGGTCATATTTTATAGAAACCATTTGGCACTTCAAAAGAACATAATGTAAATTTAAACTCCACAGAAATTAAAAGATTTTTTGTTTATAAATTATAGGAAGCATAATGAACGGACAAGCCACAGTCTACGTGGAATGCAGAAAGATACACTGACTGTACGACAGGTCGGTGAACGGTTGTTATTACAATATCACACTAGTCGATGTTTTTGTTCTCTTGCTTAGTCTTGCAAATATGCTTATTAATTCATTTTGTTTTTTCGCGCCTTTATTTCTGCGTGTAAATGTCACCCAAAACTCAAGATAGGATAATAATATACTTTTCTGAAATTGTTTAGAAGTATGACATTACATGTAGACGATATAAAACAATAAATGCATTGATATCCAACGCTGAAACTACATTTTACGGTTGACAAGGCTTACTATCTTTGAAATTTGCATGTTTAGTTCAACTATTCAATATCACAGTTGTAATGCCAGTTTTATTTGAACAGGTACCTCCAGAGAAAGTGTCATTGCAGAAAGTGGAGAAAGAAATACAAAGTCATCTGGCATGTGTTCACTCTATAGAAAATAAATGTAAGAATAATTAGTGACATGCTAGGTATTTTTGAGTATTAAATGATCGCCAATATTGTTAAGTTAAGTTATCTTAGTAAGCTATTGTTCGCTATTTGTCTCTTTGTTATGAAAAACTTTAAAAAAAAAACAACACTAAAATCATGGCAAATTAAAGATCTAAAGTTCTATTGACAAATATTTATTATTATTCCAGAAAAATAAAACAACAAAATAACAAATAGTGAAATACTGAATACTTTTAAAGTAGTGACAAACTAAAATAAGAACATTTTTATAGCATGCTTTTCTCTCTTTGAAATAAATTAATGACATGTATCTTTTAGATGATAGAAACAGAACAGAATGTGTGCACAATTTACGAGAATTGATATATTCCCTGAAAAAAGAAGACTTCTTAACTTTTGGCACAAAAGTACTTACACGCACCTGTGAAGAAATCGACATTTTATGTAAAGATGAAAGAAATCTTTTCATAGACATTATAGCACGTGAAGGAAGCGTTGAGGCACAGTTATTGGTTCTTGATTTGGTCATGAGTAGGTCAAATGTCACTGAAGACGACTTAAGAAGATGTTTATTTCATGCAATAGCCATACCATCACCAGCACTTGTAAGTTAAAAACTATTCTTACCTGTAAAAAAATCAATAGTCGAAATCATTTTCAAATTAGTTGAAATGCGTCATTGTCATTTAACATTAAATGTTACATATTTCAGGTTTTAGTAAAAAAAAATACCGAATGGCATTTCTTGACATTTATTTATATTCAAGATTTGTACATGTGAGAAATGAATGACCGAATACGTGTACATGCATGCCAGAATCAGGTGCTTGTAATGAATTTGAAATGGATATGTTAAAACTGAACATAATTCATAGCATTAAATATGTATTTTCAGGAAATTGTTCAGCACATTGAGGCCCTCTGCTTCGATGAGGATTCAAAACCAGGAGGTAATTAAAAGTGATGAAGTACTATGAATGAACACTATACTCAGTATATTCAAATTAAGTTGACACAATCAGACATTGGTCAAGTAAGCAGTACAAGTATATGAGCGGGAACTCTTTCGTAGTTTCGTAGTTTTTTTTTTGTTCTGGAAATTTATCTTTAATATTGCATGGACAGTTCTCGCGTTGTCCTGTTTTTTTCTTAAATGGGCATTTCACATAGTGCCATTTGCTTAAATAAGTTTGTAATTTTGGAAGAAACAGAAATTCCATGCTTCATACTTTGAAATCTCAAAAAGCATGGTCTTTATTAAAAAGTCAGAACATTTAATGTGTAACATTCGCAATTTATATCTTCATGTTTTTTTTCAGAGACACCTACGTTAACAAAGACCAGGAAGAGAGCATGTTTATCACTTGGGGCCATGGCTAAATCACTACATGACAAGAACATGACAGAGTCGGACAGAATTGTTGAGAAAATCGAAAACTGGCTTGATCATCACAATGAAAGTAAATAATTGATACAGCTCATGCATGTATATATATTGATTAAATGGTATAATTTATTGTATGATGATGAGGAAAATTGCCAAGTGTCTACGCCTTGTTGATCTGATATATTCACAGAAATCTTCACATTTCATTTAATGACCAGCATAAAGGACTTAATTTTTGTCTGAAAATCCTTTTCCAGTTAAATAAACTCTTCAACAGCGGGCGGCAAACATGGCAGATTTGTTTTCCCTGTTTTTGGATGTCCCCTTCCTTGAACGTATACATGTTTATAACGATGCAAAGGAAAACACATTTTCATTCACCATTGTATTTTCGACAGTAAGAATGCTGTCAGAATCCCTACACCCTTACACCGGATGCTTACTTTACGTAACGTTGTTGTAAATTTGTCGATTCGTACCCTTAATCTCGTAAGGCATTTAACAATTTGTCTTTAAATATGAATGATGAAGCGTCGGACTTTATAACGTATGTATTTTACATATTAAGCAGGTCAATGTCACTTTCTATAAATTATCACCGACGACTTCCTAAAATGAAGGAATCCAAATTCCCTGGCGAGATCCAAAACTTTAGCGACGAGGGCAACTTTGAAGCCAACTGCCTTAACCACTCGGCAACGGACGTAACCGTTTTTTAACTTATCGTCGCAAGGGAAATCTTGAGTGATATAGTAGTTATATTTATTTTCTTAAAATTTGAAGAAGAGTTATTAGTTGGTAGTTTTGTTCTTATCATTAAAGATACTTGCATTACACAGACCACCGTGTTTTCTTGTATCTCTTCAATCTACGTGCATGTATTCATTTTTCTGTATTCAATGATCAACATTTACAGCAAGATCAATGGATATTGTAAAACCAAGAGAAAGACGATCTATTACTCAGCATGATATGCCAGCTAGAAAACATATTGAAACAAAGATGGTTCTCATTCAGAGTCTTGGAAACGCAGGCAAATCTAGATCAATCAAGCACATCAAGTCATATATGGAGCCTAATGTTGGCGTTACCGCATGGCGCCGAGCTGCTATACATAGTCTTAGACATTTCTCATGTAACGAGGTAAGTCAATATCAGTAAGTGTAGTAATGTGCAGAAAAGTACTATAATTAAAGCTTTGTTTGTTATCTTTGTTTATATTTCCCTATTCATGTTGTTCAAATATAATGATTCTAGCCTCGTTTCATTGTTCTGATACAATATGGTAAAGTAATCATTAAAGTAAAATTGTCAAAGTAGTAATATAGTTATATCAAAGTCGTGCTTTACACAAAAATATAGAGTTTGCGAGCTACCTATCCCTCTCGCTTTCAAATTTACGTGGATACGCAGACATGGCTGTTCCTGCCAAAATTATGACTGAAGAGTTACTTTGCTTGTACAATTTTAGAGTGCACATGCACTTTTAACGAGTGCTGTACATGACGACGATGATATTGTACGAAAGACGGCAACAAATGTTTTAAAGAAACATCCAAGAAGTGACAAATTCACCATGGAACAAGAAAATGTTGTCCTAAGGTAGCAGATATGTACATTATCATCATCATAATAACGTATTATAAAAAGATCAATTGCAGATCCTCTTTCAAGAAACAGAGGTAAAGAGTTGAATGTGTACATTACACGGTTTTAGTATGATTCTTATATGTGTATGTTTTAGTCAGTGGAGTTTTGAGAGATAGTAATATATTCTCTTTGTTTTAAGTTCAGATGTTTTTCCTTAACAATTACATTGAAGGACATATTATGCTAACTGTGATAATTTTATTGTTGATACTTTGAAACTTAAGTATATACATTTATTCAAGTATAATCTATAAATATAATAGCATATGATGACTCTCCTTTTGCAGCAAGAATTACAGTTATCCTATTGTTTCGCGTGTACGACGAAGTTTGCTGCAGACTTTGGAACAGGGCATCGAAGTTCTTATCAAACCTCCGGGTATTGAATGGGACAAGACGATCGGAAATAGTGCTATTGGAGCCAGTTTTGGTCTTCATATACGAAATATTCTGGACCTTAAGCTAGGTACGATTCATTACATGTATTTATCTTTATTATAATACATGTGTTACATCAAGATCATAGAAAACCGTGTCGATATCAACAACTTGTGTTGACAAGAAAAGTAAGTAAACACTTTATCACTTACCTTCAGAATTTCACGAATCTTAACAAATAATTTCATTCTTGATAAATTACTCTTAATAAAAAATATTTTGTGTCATGTATTGTCCAACAGAACTAATCAATTGTCAAGTCCTTTCAATCTAGCTATGTTTCTTGCTTTTAATGCAAGAAAAGAAACATCTCAATATTTTGTATTTTAGCACTTCTAAGCGGCCATTTCATGATAGACGTCTATGATGGTGCTTATGCTGAAGCTCATGTTGGAATGATCAACTTTCAAGTAGACATCGTCAAAGCTTATGTATGCTTTAAAGGTCGTATTGCGTATGATCTCAACGTATTAAAGGTATTTGTTGTTTTATAGTTTATATTTTATCAATTCTGTAGGTTTTTTATTTTAATTTACGTACAGGTTGCCTTAAAGGTATGTAAGACTTTATCATATTATCTTGTTGACATAGTTTGTCTAAATTATTATTATCATTTTAAATTGTACTTATGGTTATATTGCATACATGCATTTCGGAAATAAATCAGATATCAACAATAACTATAAGATCTTCTCATACGAAGCCACTTTAATTGTTACCCACCATAAAAATCGTACGTCCGTAGGCGAGTTGTTAGGGTCTTTGACTTAAAACCGCTAGCCCCTCGCCGTTTCCAATCTTGTCAGTGACTTGGACCCGTTCCTGTGAGGAAGTTATCAAGCTAGCATACGGAACGTTGGTGGTTCTGCTTAATTGTGCGTTTGTGCCGAATAACGCAAAGAGGGGCCCTAAATTCTGCCTCAATCAGTAAAGGTTGAATGTCGACAAATAACCTTTACAGTGATTGTGTCACGTTAAACTCAATCAAGAGAGAGTTAAAGACGTAGACAGGGAGTTAAAATTGTTTCCGACACTTCACCGTTTCATTGTTTTAAATATAACGTAAGCTAGGTAAATACCAATAGCAATTTTATGTTTATTTAATCGTCTCTGTCATATATGTTTTGTTTTTGGCTACATCAATTATATTTGAAAGCTAAAATTACCAAAGCAGTTGAATATAAAATAAAATATAGCAAAATCCTTGCAAAAGAATCCAGTATCCATAAAGTATTATATAATTATTATAGCAATAAGAACATCTAATGTTTACTTGCATGTTAAAACATTTCAGGACTTTGGTATAAATAGTTTGTCGGACTTGGTGCACATCTATGACAAAATCGTTGCTAAAATTGTAACGCCAATAACCGATGCTGTCAAACATTTCCGAGAAATCATCATGCTCTTTAAAGGTATCCTTCTTATACATTTTGGTCATTTACAAGGTATTTACATAATTATTTTGTTCATTAATCATATTTGATTTATTTTTTATTTTTAATTCTCTTTTATCGTATGTTTCTATATAAATAAATCGAATCTTTTGAAATCAATGATAAAATGAAGATTTTTATTTTATTTCCCTATTCTAGGTCGAAGCCTTAGTACAATTGTCAACACGATTGTGAAAGTCGTGAAAAATCTGCCAACTATTCTTGGAGATGTAGCTCAAAGGCTAAAGAACTTTGTTGAAGAAATATTTAATATCGCTGGATCCACAATTGTTGAAGAAATAAAAATCATTGTACAAAATGTCCGTAATTTCGTAGATGGTATTAAGCAAGATGTCTTAAAGTTTTACAATGTAAGAAATTAGTCTTTTTAATGGATAATCACTTTCTTTGTATCCCTCATGTACAGGCACAATTAAACCGAGTCTGCAATTTTTATGTAAATTTGCTGTTTTTAATGCTTCAGAGGGATCACTTTTTCCTAGATATTTGTATGTTCCTGTTAATATTTTTATTCTTCTATCGGTTCTAAAATAACGATATAACATATTTAGTTTTGCACTTATGTAATTTATTCTCCGAATATTTAATAATATTATAAAGTGTTATGAAGCAAACATTAAATGTACTAATAATACATTGCGTAGTATTAAGTATATATTTATGTACTTGTATATAATTACACACAGTACCGTAATAGTTTTGTTTTAACTGCTTCGGACTTTATGTTTTACGATTTAAAACTCTCGTTTTAAGACTGTTGTAAAATCAGATATAATTTATCTTAATATTATAGGATATCGTCGATGCTGTTACTCTCGGGCTTCCATACATATCGAAGAAAATTGTTGATGCATACAATCTTATTATAAGTGCTTTAAGCCAATTACTGAATAATCCTATGCAAGCAATAACATCGATGTCAAGGGCCATATCGAAGTAAGATTAACTTTTATTTAAAGGTCATCTAAAAGGCGAAGTGAATGATATTCCTGGCTTTGCATGATTTGTAAAACAATTATGAATGTAATGTTTCAAACATTCGATTAATGCTGTGTCATTACTGTAAAACATTGTTATTTAAAACAAAAACATGTTCATTTAAAACATGTTTTAGATAACGAGTATGCTGTAAGTCTGGATAGAAGAGTCACTACAATGAAACGCATGTGTGATTGTGAAGTATATTATAATTATTAATGTTATTAAGATTTAGAAACAGTGATGCTCAGCTTTTTTTACTTAGTCATTTAAAACTTCATGTAATTAGTGAAACTGTCCTTAAACTTTCAGCATAAAAATGGCGGTAACAATGGCTGTTGATATAAAAAATAAAGTGATTGACGCATGTATGTTCTTGAAAGGTAAGGTAGAATTCATGTGTTAAGAAATATACTTATAAAATTTAATACTTTATCACACTTGCAGTCACAATTCCTTCTGATAGCCGTAAAGTTTTATGTTGCAAACACTATCTTAAAAAGAACAAGTGTTATTAAATCTCAAGTACACCGTCAGAATAAAAATGACTTGACATTACAGTGTACGATTGCGTTAATCGTCCAGTAGCATACTGACTGAATTATTATAAAATTAGGTAACCTTATTCAGCTGGACAGTACATTTTTACGATGCAGTTTAAAATATGACCCTTCTTAACCGTGGCAGTTAATCTTTTAAAGTTCTGAAGTTACTCTCCGCTGAATCATTTTTGCCATTAAGTGACTTGCCGGTATGAAATAATTCTTATAACTAATTTAGGTCGTGCGGTGGAATGGTTGAACACAGCTAAGCAGATACCTAGTATAGTCAGGCGTCTTGGTGAAGCTCTGAAGAAACTTGTGAAGTCTATTACAGGTCGCAAGCGCCGTGACCTGGAGTCAGAAATGACCACAGCCCTTAGTGATGGCATTGGTGATATGGTAGCATAATCTTTCAATGTTAAGAAACCTGAATTATTTCTCTATGTATAAAAACTATAAAATAAATTTAAACAAGCACGGCTTTTAAAAAAAAAATAAGTACATGTTGGAGAGCATTGTGTTTTTACTGTTGTATTGTTCTGTATAAATTTTCTGTAGTTAAGATCCTACTCGTGATATTTGTAATAATACTTACTGTGTTTAGTTTAAACCAAATATGTTTTTGCCATAACCCTATATACGTTTTTGAAAATAAGCAAGATATTTCAGTATTGTTTTTTTAGTAACACAATGTGGTGTATTATTTTTGGTGTTTTTATAATTCTGTTTAAAAATAATTATTTGTACAGAAAAACTCACTCCACAACTTGGAAAGTGATTTGAAAGCGAAATGGGACCAAGTTCTTGAGCCCTTAAAACCTTTAATTGATATTGTGAAACCGTTTGTTGATGAATTCAAGGCGATTATGGATCTGATAAAAGGAGTAAAATGGGGTTACAAAAAAGTGAAAGAAGTGTAAGAGATATAAATATTTCATTGATTACTAAACTACTCTTAATTGTACAGACGTTTAAAACCGCAGATGATATTTTTAAACTTTCGTTTTCATTTCTCTTTTTATAACTTACATTAATGTTTTATAAGAAAGATTGGTATACTTTACCAGACTTTTATGTATATTAATTATTGAAACAGAGAACCAAATACGTATCACTAATTATCAACTTTCTATTTGAAATAGAAAAAGAAATAAATTTTGTAAGAAAAGAAACTATCTCTTTCAATTGTACACAGAATCGAAACCAGCAAATCACTAGTACAGAAGGTCTTTGGTCCCAAATTCCACAGAAATTTTCCGACAGAAAGGCGCAAGGCAAAGGGATCCTGTAAAGAAGGGGTTTGGCCAACAACGACGCAGAAAACATACCAAACAACTGGTGTTGACATAGCATTAGGAAGGGGACAGTCGGTACATACTTATATTAGCTTAGCTCAAAGTATACTTAAGGACATTGAAAACGCACGGTCGGGATAATTGCATTTTAACAAGTAAATTATATCTCTTTTTAATATTTTTTATCTGTTTCATAAAACCGAATGCATTCCGGTCATTTAGATACCAAAGTTATGAAAAATGGTTGCATTTTAAGGAAGTTATTGCATAATAAAGACAGTACCCGAAAAATCAAAAGTAACACTTTGGGCTAATTGTGATAAGATTACAAAAGAAAAACAGATTGAACCCATTCATGGTTACTTTATAAAATGAAATTATTTATTTTTTAAACTGTTAATTATTAACTTTTTTCACACCTTTCTAGAAATGTTAGACACAAATGAGTAATTAAAATCTTTATGAAGATGAATATTAAACTATTCCAATAGTCAGTTTTAGAAATCGTAAAAGCTCAATTGGATATTGCATATACACACTTTTCCTCTATAAAAGGTGCTAAATTTCAAACACTACTGAAGACTTGCTGCTAATTGTATGCAAAGTTTCTACAAAGAAATAACCGCTGTGTAGATTTAGATTCAGTCTGGTCTATCTTACAAAAAAGCGCCAACCCTTTTGGTGTCAATCGGTCTACAATTACTCGGCTTCACCAGCGTTTTCGCACTACACTACTGGCCGAATGGCGTCAGATTCCACAGGCGACTATCCGCACGTAAGGTTTATAAGGCGACGATGTACATCTGTAAGAGAGCTGATGGAGGACATTGTCGTTTCTAAAGATCCCGACGGAGACATTACTAATAGACATTTAGGAGTGACTTTGTTTTCGATTTTCATTTTGGTTTTTGCCTTTGTTACTTTTGCATTACTGTGATGAAAAAGTGTGATTTTGTGATTTTCACAATTGCTTCTTCGATTTACTGCTGTACATTTAATTTCAAATATTTTGAATTATTTTCAGTTGTTAAGTTTGAGTTTTGTATTAAAGATATGATATATATCTAATGGAATCGTAAGTTTTTTGTTTTTATGTAATAAAATGCATATAGTGCGGGCGTGCGTTTTCATTGTCCTTAAGTATATAATGCGTAAAGTGACAGAACTTAGCGCCTGGTTAAAAATAGATATACGCAATTTTAATAAAAGCTTATGAATAGGCAAATTAAACTAAGATTCTATTTTCAATGTATATATTGTTTGATTTTTTTACCTGTCAATTGCATACTGATTATACGGTCAATGCACACACTATATTATTATTCGATACATTTTCGGTTAGTTTCGTGAGACATACGCAGTAAGTTGTGATAAATGACTTCAATTTGTGTCTCAAATAGTTATACTGGGCGTTGTAGCGCAATAGGGTAAACTACGGGTATGCAATTTCCAAATGGCCTATGTGCTATAAGATCGACACCGCGTTGATCCATGTTTTTGATATATTTTCAACAGTATTGAAGCTATGACTCTTTATAACATGGCTTAAAGATCTTGTATGTCATAATTGAGGTTGTTACCGTGCGTGTGTTGGGTTAACTTACCCTCGCCACCTGTATTAAACCATATGGGCGTACATAGAGATTGTTATCAAACTTAAGTGAAATTTTATATAATATGTATATAATTATGCTTATAAAACAATTGTCAAATATCGAAGAGTATGTAAAATATGTACTGCAAATATCTGTGCACATTATATGTTATCATTAAAATATATGTATTCATTTCTTATTTTAAAAAAATGGCGTAGACTTTATGGAAAATAAATTTCTAATTACCTCCCTTTATTTATATGAAATGTTAAATTCGGTAATATCTGTATAAATAATGCTTTTTGGAACTTACAGTATTGATAAATCTTAATTTAAGCATCATATTCATGAAATAAAACCATAAAAAAATTGTGTTACAGGATCTTTAAGAATTAATTTTTAAAAATCATTCGGATTAAAATCAATAATGTCATTTCAATGTTGTAAAATACAATGCAAAACGAGAAAAAACAGTCTTTCTAAGTTTTTTATATCCGTGTGAACAATGTTTGCAAGCACTTGGCTATTTCCAATAAATTATACTGCAAAAATTATGAAATAATAAACAATGACAAAAATAGGTATTGAACCAGAGACCTCTTATATATTAGGCAATAACCGACTTTCTCATTGCGGATATGAAGACGACCTATCCATTAAGCTAGTGTGACTGTTCAAAACAATAGTTATATACGTAATATTAATTCTCGTAAACTACACGGTCAGAACCGAAGTATATTTGAATTAGTGTTATAATGTATTCATAATTGACAGGTCAATAAAATCCGACTTTACTTCAGGAATGTTATAATTTGAATAATAATGATGATCGCCGATGATTCGTTGCTAGATAATAAAACCACCGCCACTAAACATATATGTTTTGATCATTTGTGTTTTATTTGAGTGACTTGTGGTGAGTTTAATCCTATATAAAATACTATTATAAATGTATTTTCTTGCAAGTAAGGATTTTATAAAATCAGCAAACATCTCCTTGTTTATATATTTTAGGTGTTCAATTTTATAATTATTGAATTAATCCTATTATAGATAGTGATGCCAGTAAACGGAATCCTGCATGTTGAATCATCTAAGAATCGAGTTGTCGTTCAGCCAATAGATCCCGAGTTTATAGTTCTTGAGATCGTTATTGAAAACATTAACCCCGATGAAAAGTGGGACGGGAAACAAGTTAAAGCTGGTGACAAAATTGGACGAGCGTCAAAGGCACCAAAATGTGAGCCAAATTTCATCCACGTGTCTGTACGGCAAGCACAGGATGAAACTATTCCAGATGCAGATTATGACTATACTGATCCCGGACCATTTCTAGATCGATTGGTCCCGATTCCAAAATGGATACAAGAATGCAATGACCACGAGTTTAGGTAATTTATTTTTTAATAAAAATAATTTATTTGGTTTAGAAGAAATTGCACTGTAAATATAATAATGAGATGCAAAGTTTTTGATAAAAGGTGATACTTGCTTGTTGGAACATTAATTTATTGCTTCAGATGCTATCAAAATCTCTTTAAAAGAAAAGACAATGTACTCTCAATTCCTAAGAATGCATCGTATTTTCTTATTTCTTAAGGTATATTGGTCAAACCTTTGAATCTGGAGAGACAGACGAGGAAGAAGACCCCGAGTCTAAAGAAGAAAAAGTTGAAAGAGACCCACCAGATTTTGATGAACTTGATGATATGCTAGGAGATGAGGATCCTGCATACAGGCCTGATGACCCTGCTCTATATGATCCAACTTCATTTGGAGACAGTCTTAAAGAAAGTTTGAAGGAACAAGCCAAAAAATTTGCTGACTTTTTCAAAACAGCCCTATTTGGAAAGGGCGGGTAAGTGAACTAAATATGCATTACTTCGCCAGTGTAAATGGAGAGCAATATTGTCTGAACAGTCATTTCATTCGATAATGTGTTTAAAGAATATATAAATAATCTTAACTACTGTTGACAACAAAGGAGAGAATTTGGCTCCGTCATTTGTTTTTGTGTATTGGGTTGCAATTGTAACGAATATTTGACCTTAATGTATATAGATCTTTGTATAACTCCAGAAGCCATAAGTTTTATTTGTAGAACCGGTTTGGAACTTAGGATTTTGAAATTTTCTTTCTTTTTTGTCATATATGATTTCTTAAGATTCTCGTTTAAACTTAATAGATTTTATATAACTTTACTAATGCATCTAAATATGCACACTATGTTTCTGAAATGAGGTATTCTGTAATGATTTATTTCTTGATTCTTTAATTTCAGTCCTAAAATTCCCAACATTTTGGACATTGTTAACGTGAATAATAAGACTGTTAACTGGGTGTTTGAAAATTTGGCACAAGGGAAACAACTTTATAATGACTTCAATAAACTGGTTGATACAATGGCATGTTCCATGGTTGCTGTTCCGGTCGGGAATCCAGCAACTATGTCACTATCCTTTGTTAAGAAATTTATAAAATTGCAAGGAGTTACTAGCTCTGTGAAGGGCGGAGATGTCAGTAACGTCGCTGATAGCCTGATGGAAACAGCTGGAAAAGGTAACGGCAAACTTGATTTTATTATAGAAGTAAAATTGTTTATAATTGATCCTGCCCAGAGGGCCAATGCTTTCCTTAAGTATATAAAGTAAAAACTACAATAACAATTTATTCCTCTAAAACTACACAGATTTGAGCTGATATATTTAAATGTAACATTGTAAAGTAGACCGTTGCCAAATTGTTTGTTTTTACTCCAAACTATAGCTCTGTGGTCAGAACTGGCTCCTTCTCAGTGGTTCACGGGTTTTCCTTAAATCTTTAAAAAATTTAGAACCACAATGGCCATAGTCTCGGGGCCATTGGTTTTACTTATTAATAAAATAATAGCTTAAAAATCTCCTCTCCTCTAAAACCACAAAGGCTAGATCCTAGAATCTTTTATGAATTATTGTTTAGTGTGTCTCTATCTAGAGTTTTTAAAATTGTAGCCCTCTGGTGAACATTCTCCCTGTCCAGCAAGTCACGGGATTTTTATATATAGGAACTATTGAATTTCTGTAGCAACTGGTATCTTAAATAACAACTCTTTATTTTCCTAAGCAGCCAGTGACTACTTGTACACGTACACTATTTCAAATGCAGATTGGAACGTAATAGCTGTTTTCCATTCATAATTATCAATATTATTTGTTCCTTGTTATGTAAAGCCTTCATTATAATATTATACATGTAAGCGGTATTAGTGCCATCATGGCCCTCTTGTTTTAAATGCTATGCTATTTAGTAACTGGAATAAATGTTTGGAGTAAATGGATTAACACCAGATATTCAAAACTATCTAATAATAATAATAATAATTAAAAAGAAAAACAAGAATAACTTCCATTGATCGTAATGTACTTTCATGTTTCAGTATGTCCGTGGTTTAAAGGTAGAATTGCTGCTGGTTTTGGCCATGTTTGCACTGTACACGAGTGTTGTTTAGGTATCACGTGCAGTGTACCTGTCCCATTTGGCGCCGAAACTAAGCACGTTGAATTTAGTTTTGATGTTAAGCCTAGTGATTTAAAACTACTATTTAAAGTCAACGGGAAATCATTTGAATTCACAGCTAATGGTAAGTGTTATTTTATCACGCATTACGAATGGTATTAAGTATTAAATTAGTTAAATGTAAAGTTATGTTTTATGCTAAGAAAAGCATGCAGTAGTCGTGGGATAATTTGATAATATTATCACCATTTCAATCACTTAATATTCTATGTTCACTAAAAAACAACGTGCTAATGTGTAGATAAATTTCCCGGCTTACTTTCTAGAACCATTTACTTAAAATGCAAAGTAACTTCGCAGATTTGGTCAGATCGACGAGTAGTAAGGCATGCATATGTGATCATTTTATCAAGAAACATTTTCTAGTTTTACAACAACAGGAAAACAGAATGGAAAAGAAAATATTGAGTATGGGTTATATTGTCTCGTCTTGTTTCTTGTTAGTTTCTTCCGATAAATGAATTTATACGAATTGACGCTACGCTAAGTTTTCAATCTCTCGTTCAAGAAACAGGGATCAATTAAAGATGACTTTATATCTTACGTAATTGATAAAATTGTCTGTAATTAGGTATGAAAAGTGGCAGATGAATGCTTATTTTCTCATAACATTGTTCGCTTCTGTATCGACGCTTGCTGGTTCGACTCATGTGACTGAACTTGCAATTATCAATTGTTACAGTAATAAACTGTGACTAAAATAGCATATGGCATTACAAGTTCAATGTGTAATAAAAACGTATATTTATAGGGTTTTTTTCTTCATTTTTACAATCTATTATTCTTTTATCCACAGTTTAATTACATTTAATCATTAATATTGTGATTATAATTCTAGTCTGCAAAAAAGCATTTCAGCACCTGAGGATTTGATTTGAACAAGTAATTACTTTGTTGTTGTTAAGGAAGCATTGGTATAAAAACATCTCTTCATGTATTCGAAACTCTGACATAACCTAAGTAGGTTAAACCAATTTTTTTTACTCCGGTACCTGCTCATAGCTGGCATTTTGCTCAAAATGGGGACCTGAGGTCTTCCTCCATCAGTCGTTTAATGAACTTTACAGTGTCGTTTTTACCTAGCTACTTAACTAACTAACTAACTAACAGTTTTGCCTGAAAAAGGAAACAGAAACAGAATAAAAACGAATTTAATAATGCTTCATCTTTGAAAAGTGGAACCAAAATATGTAGATATTACATGTTTTCAGAAAGAATAGTAGAATGAAACTTTTACATTTGTTGTAAGATAACTGTTCAAACGTCTTCGACTTAAGTATCGATATGTTTTCCTTAACAGCATTAGACGAAGAAATCAAAACGGGCATAAAACTGTTTGGCATGGAAGTATTTCTGGTAACGAACGCTGAATTAAAGAAAGGCGTTGTTTCTATGAATGCTGAAGTCAAGCTGTGCACTGGTCTCTTCGCCACATGCTTGCCACCAATCGACCTTTTCCATGAGATCAAGTTTGATTTAGGAACATCATGCAAGACAAAGCGATGTAAGTTTACCCTTTAAATTATATTTCCTTTATCCATTAGATTATTTGATGTTTTCTATTTATTGATACAAAAATTAGGAGATCCAGGTTTTATAGCTAAGAGCAAGTGATTTTATTTGTCGAATTAAAAAGGAATTTTACCAGCAATGCGAGAATCACAACGGCCAGGTTTTATATCAAATGCTATTGTGCAGCACAAAATGTTGTTACAGGTAATCTATTATGTAATAGTTTTAGTGAAATAAAACTTTCGTAATATATTCTTAGTAAAAGAAATTATCTAGTATTTCAAAGTCTTCTTAAATATCGTTTTTTTTATTCAATACCAGCATAATATTCTATATTAGAACGAAAAGAAATAATGTAATTATAATTATATATATATATAAACATTAACAACAGATACAAAAAAACAACAACAAACAAACAACAAAACAGGTGACGTTAAGGGAATAGAAAGCTTAGGCGGAACTTTTCTAGTATTTATTCTACTCCTTCTTGGTTCTACGTTGATCGGCATTTGCACTTTTTTGTGGAGTCTGCTGCTTTAGTACGATGCTTAGTAAATTATATTACAACTACGTGTACATGATTTTATTATTTAAACTATATTATTATTATTCCTTTTGAATGAATTTATTGAGTATTTTTGCACGATAATGGATAAAAGATAATAATTGATATAGTGTTTAAAAATTCACAATGTCAGTGTAATTTAAGCATTTCTGAAAGCAAAACTGGTTCAAGGAAAGATTGTTTTTATTATCCTCAATGTTTATCCTAAACATAAGATATCAAATTAAGTGGCTGTAATTATTACCTTTCATAAAAACAAATGCGTTGGTGTAATATTGTAATTTCCTGCTATCTACATCATTTTCTTTGTATTTACGGAGTGTAATTTGTAGTAATTTTATCATATTAAGATAGTGGTTTTCGACTCGTTTGTCTTATTGCCAATGTTTTAAGTATATTTTACTACAATGTCTGCCAAAGGAGTATGTTTATGATATTGTAGCTTGATTTATTTTGTTACTAATAATCATTTATAAAGATAGGGAACGTTTTATGTAGTATTATATTAGATTAATTAGTTTGAGTACTAAATTAAAATTACAACCTAATATATCTACGTTTACCGACGGGGATTTATATTTTTCTTCCCTTTCTTTGTATATGATATAAGTAGTCTCATATTAAAACGCGGCCCCGGGAAATATCGCATCTATGCCTTTTAGGTTCTCCCTCCCCTCACCCCGTAAATGTAAAGACCCCGCACCGCAAGACAATATAAACAATATAAAGGCGTGCTTTTATGTAGGTAATCTTGAGGACTGATCGAAAGATAATATTTTGGTCATTACCATCGATATCCTCGCACTGATTGGGTTACAATTTTCTGCAATTTGTGTTTACCTTGGTTGAATCAGATTCCCTTTCGCACTATATAAACAGCCTTTGCCCGAATAAATGAATATACGTCGTTTCAAATTCTTGTTTAAAGCTTGTTGTACGTGATAAACGGCACATAATCCATTTCTACATAAAAAGGTAAACATCATTATTTATAAAATAGGTATAACAGGCGATAATGATGATATATATGTGATTAAAGTACTCCGTATATCTGTATATAGTACAAACCTTCTGAATTATGGGATCGCTCGGGAGCAAATAAAATACAATACTGCAAATTAAAATGACAGCTTCGTTTTCTTTGAGTTTAGGAAAGGCAGTTAAAAGTGCAGAGTTTTTCACGCCTACAACCAGTTGTATTGGGTGACAATCGTTACTATTGTGTTAGGTGCTTAAAATGTAAAGGATGCTCAGCAAAACAATTAATATATACATGTAAATCATCATTTCAAGTACGCACTATTAAGTGAGTTATTTTCTAAGCTCGCGGTTATCTACTCTTCCTCTAATTGGTTAAATATCTTCTTAAGTTTCGTGACGTCACCTTATCAAAATATTAGTAATAAATACTTATATGTTTAAGCTGGACTTTTTTTCGAACGGAAATAATCCATAAAATTTATTGTAAAAATGCCTTCTGCAAGACTTTAATTTAAAAGCGAATGGTTGTAATAGATTTTATAAAACATTTTATAATAACTGTGTTTCAATGATAATTGCCCTATCACATTTTCTATATACTGGTTAAGATAACTGTTTACTTATTAGTCGAAATATTAAAAGTATTTGTAAATATTGACAAAAATCCCAATAAAATTCTAAATCATGGTTTGATTGTATCAACAAGGACTACGAATGATAAATCAAATATATCATGTGTACTTTTGTATTTAAATACTTTATTGCACTAGTATATAAGAACGATTAATGCAGCGGTAAACTTGAAAGCTTCTACAATAATGCAACGGTAGCTTGTTTTGATACCGTTTATATGACTTTATATATACTTCAGTTGAAGCGTATATAGTAGAAATCGTTTAGAGTGTTTACTTTGTTATATACGTATATATCATGTATATTTAAACTACATTGTATATAGATTGTGCAAAAAATGTAATTTCTCAATATTGTAGTACAGTTATAAAGACTCCAACCCTAATATAGCGTTTGCATCGGCGAGACATGAACAAATATCCAATAAGACCCAACGAATAATGATAATAAATTAATTAATACTAGTGTGATTCCTGCCGTTTTGTGTTATCAAGTCAATAGAAAGGAATATTATTGGCATCAAATAAAAGTTTTATAGACAAATACGTCAGTATCTACATTACTGCAGCTGAGTAGATGTACATGATTACCTAGGTAACGAAGTAAAGTGGGCGTGATTTTGTGTATATAAACTTCATTGTCATTGTAGCTTTATCAATACAACTGTCTTATGTTTAAAAAGAATATTATCATGCAATTTGTTTTATTCATATATTTAAAGTTACGCTTTGAATCGTTTACGAAAAATATTTATTGAAATTAATTTTATTGAACAACTTTTATAACCAAAAAATGCTCAAAATTGATAATATTTCAATGAATATTTATACACAGTAGTTTGTCGTAAATTTTTATCGATACAAAGTTCAAAACATCGTACGTAGATTTAACATTTTTACAGGACTCTATTTTACTAAACAATCACCGTTATTGTCAAAAAGTAAATAAAGTGCGTGATTCATAGCCACTAGAGGAAACCGCAACTTTTACTTTTTATTCAGTGTTTAAAATTATTCATGATATAACTTTGTCACGACGAACTGGTGATTGGTCCCTTAAAGTATTAAATAAAAAACTGCTTGTAGTGATTAAGTGTCTTTCTTCAGCAGATAACTTACGATAATATTTTTGAAATGATAGAGGAGTTGATTCAGAGCTATAACTTTGCTACAATATTTGTAACTATATTGATTGCGGTCCTTTGGATAATTGTTGCTAGACGACCACGAGAATATCCTCCAGGACCACCCGTGTTTCCGGTGTTGGGAAATATCCCTTCTTTGATCAGCAAGGACCCTGTTCTAAAATTCACTGATCTTCGAAGGACATATGGAGACATCTACGGATTGTATATTGGAAAGGATTTTACCGTAATACTTAATGGTTATGAAGTTATACACGATGCTCTTGTTAAAAAAGGTGACGTGTTCTCTAAGCGGCCACGTTCGGAATTTCATCAGCTGATGTTTAAGGAGCCCGGCATTGTTTTTGCAAATGGTAAAGCTTGGAAAGAGAACCGGAAATTCGCACAACTTGCACTTAACGAATTTGGTTATGGATGGACAGAAAAGACGATGGAAGAAAGGATAAATGAGGAGATCAGATATTTCGTAAACAGAATCGAAGCTTTTGAACAGCCTTTTGATATATGTGAAAGTGTAAACCTTAGTGTTGCTAACGTTATCGCGGGGATTTTGTTCGGACAACGTTGTGAGTACGACGACAGCAGTTTTGTTTCATGTCTCCATAGTGTAGGTGAAGCTGCGAAACTGTTCGCTAGAACCGGTCTTATGATGAGTTGTTTTCCTTTTTTGAAAAGTTTACCTGGCGATCTACTAAGTTTGAATAAAATAGAACAAATAAGGCAAAAGCCAAAGCAATTTCTGAACAGTATTTGTATGCGACATACAGAAACGTATGACAAAGATATAAAAAGGAATGTCTTAGATTTATACATGAAACAGATTGGGCTCCAAACTAAAAATAATAGCGAATGTGGCATGTTCTCCGAGGTTAATATGCGAGTAATGATGGGTGAACTTTTGAGTGCTGGATCTGAAACAACAGCTACCTGCATAATCTGGATAATTCTACATCTTATACGTAACCCTGAAATACAAAGAAGATTACACGAGGAAATAGATGATGTAATTGGAAAAGAGAGGTCTCCGAATCTCGAAGACAAAATAAAACTTCCTTTTCTAGAAGCCACAATCCTTGAAGGACTTCGGATTGCCCCTGTAGCGCCACTTTCCGTACCACATGCTGTTCACGAGGACGTCACATTTAGAGGTTTTGTCATCCCTAAGGAAACCACAGTATTGGTTAATTTACATTCTGTCCTGAAAGACCCACATATATGGAGTGAGCCAGATTGTTTTCGACCAGAAAGGTTTTTAGATGAAAGCGGAAATATTTCAGTACCTGAGGAGTTTATACCATTCAGTGTAGGACGACGTGCATGTTTGGGTGAATCTTTGGCGAGAATGGAGTTGTTTCTGTATACAGCTACGTTGTTACAAAAGTTCACGATTTCCTCTGCCGAAGAAGGAACATTGCCAAGTGATAGAGGCCATTTAGGAATGACCTTTAGTCCTTTACCTTTCAAAATCAGATTGAAAGAGAGATGGTAAATTCTTATACATATTCAACGCTATGTATAATTCTTCTGAAACATTAACCAAAACAGTATTAAAAAACTAAATTCTCAATATCAACAATTTTGACATATTAGATATGTGATAACGAACTATAGTGATTTATCGTGTAGAAGATTCTATATTGAACGGATGTTAATTATCATTATTCTACATTTTATATGTATCATTACAGAACTATACAAACGGCCTGAAAATGGTCGAATTTTAAGAATCTTCAAACATCATATTTCTTTTGTGATTCTATTAATTATAAAACATATTGTGAGTTTTTATTTGAATACTATAAACTTATTTGAATAAAACTTTATTGACAGTTTGATTTATTTAAATTTATCGTCTACTGTAGAACATCGAGAACAAGCATATACGCTTATAAATCATTTAGTAAAGACTGTATGCGCTTATTCTTTGATACGCACTTAGATAGACCATTAAATGTGCGATAATTTTAATATGCGCTTAAAGAACAAAATAACTGAGTATGCACCTTTGCTTAAAAAAACAAAAAGTTTACGTGTAATGGAAAGTTTACGTGTAATGATATCTATGCTAGACAAATAAACACTTTATTAATCTTTTTACGTATATTTACTCATGTTTATGACTAAATAAAAAGATTGATTACAATGTTTGTGATACTCGTCTATTCTATAGATAAGTAATTAGATGCTTGATTATAATAAAAAAAAAATACAAATATGCGTGAAAAGATTTTAGATTATGTTTAAGCCTGTTTAGACTACCAGTGAAAACCGCTCATGGTATAATTACCTTCTGCCATAAAAGTTGAAAGAAAAAATAAAAACTTCAAAGAGATTCAGACTCACACAATTTATCCCAATACTGTGTAAGGACTGTATCGGTAACACTATTATTCATGGAATATGACTTCATGATTTTTCTTTAAATTGACAAAATAAAGCGCTTTTTGGCATATATACTGACGATGAGGAAAGATATGCACCTTTTCAGGTACATATTTCGTGGAAAAAAACTACGTGCGTTTTAGCTCACCTTGCACAAAGTGCAGGTGAGCTTTTAGGATGGCCAACCAAATGGCGTCCGTCGTCTGTCGTCCGTCCACATTTTAAATATTCTAAGGACATCTTCTATGATACCGCAAGCAAATGTTAATGAAAACTTGGCAGGAATACTCTTTGTATGAAGCTCTATCAAATTGTTCAAAGAAATTCCATTTTCATGCAGAACTCTGGTTGCCATGGCAACCGAAAGAAAAATCTTTAAATATCTTCTTTTAAAGAACCGTAAGAGCTAGATCTTAGATATTTGGCATGAAACATCTTCTAATGAGTGTCTACCAAGTTTGTTCAAATAAAAGCCCTAGGGTCAAAATTGGCCCCGCTCCAGGGGGTCATTGATTTTCCCTATATGCATATAGTAAAAACTTAAAAATCTTCTTTTAAAGAACTTAAAGAGCTAGAGCTAAGATATTTGGCATAAACATCTTCTAGTGAGTGTCTACCAAGTTTGTTCAAATAAAAGCCCTGGGTCAAAATTGGCCCCGGCCCGGGGGGTCATTGATTTTCCCTATATGCATATAGTAAAAACTTAAAAAATCTTCTTTTAAAGAACTGTAAAAGCTAGAGCTTAGATATTTGGCATGAAACATCTTCTAGTAAATGTCTACCAAGTTTTGTTCAAATAAAAGCCCTGGGGTCAAAATTGGCCCCGCCCCAGGGGTCATTGATTTTCCCTATATGCATATAGTAAAAACTTAAAAATCTTCTTTTAAAGAACCCAAAGAGCTAGAGCTAAGATATTTGACATGAAATATCTTCTAGTGAGTGTCTACCAAGTTTGTTCAAATAAAAGCCCTGGGGTCAAAATTGGCCCCGCCCCCGGGGGTCATTGATTTTCCCTATATGCATATAGTAAAAACTTAAAAAATCTTCTTTTAAAGAACCGTAAGAGCTAGAGGCTTAGATATTTGGCATGAAACATCTTCTAGTGAATGTCTACCAAGTTTGTTCAAATAAAAGCCCTGGGGTCAAAATTGGCCCCGTCCCAGGGGGTCATAGATTTTCCCTATATGCATATATAAAAACTTAAAAAATCTTCTTTTAAAGAACCCAAAGAGCTAGAGCTAAGATATTTAGCATGAAACATCTTCTAATGAGTGTCTACCAAGTTTGTTAAAAATAAAAGCCCTGGGGTCAAAATTGGCCCCGCCCCAGGGGGTCATTGATTTTCCCTATATGCATATAGTAAAAACTTAAAAAAAATCTTCTTTTAAAGAACTCAAAGAGCTAGAGCTAAGATATTTAGCATGAAACATGTTCTAATGGGTGTCTATCAAGTATGTTTCAAATAAAAGCCCTGGGGTCAAAACTGTCCCTGCCCCGGGGGTCATTGATTTTCCTTATATGTGTATATAGCAAAAACTTAAAAAAAATCTTCTTTGAAAAAACCCAAATAGCTTGAGTTTAGATATTATACATGAAACATCTTTAAGTAAATATCTACAAAGTTTGTTCAAATAAAAGCCCGGGGGTCAAAACTGGCCCTGCCCCAGGGGTGTCATTGTTTTTAACTATATGTGTATAGTAAAAACTTAAAAATATTCTTTTAAAAAACCCAATGAGCTAGAACTTATATGTTTAGCATGAAACATCTTCTTATGGGTGTCTACCAAGTCTGTTCAAATAAAAGCCCTTGGGTAAAAATTGACCCGGGGGGGGCTATATACAGGTGAGCGACCTCAGGGCCATCATGGCCCTCTTGTTAGTTAAACACCTCCCATTATAATCTCGATCAGTGTATATGATCTTGATTGAATGTTGTCTGAGCAGCTCTGACTTGAATGAAAACGTCAGGAGGACATGATCGCTTTAATTGTTACATAATTATATAGTTTCAGCGTCAGCTTTCTCCGATTTTTCTTTAACTACATGTATCTTGCTTCAATTTTGTAACACTCCTTTAATTAGCCAAAATCATCTTTCCTGTTACGCTGCCATATGACTTAAATTGTGTTGGTGTGCCGTAAAACCAAAGAAACAATGAAATTATCACATAATACCTGGATACTAAGGGGTTATGAAAACTTCTCATATTTGATTGTTTGATGGCTCAGAAAGACAGAAAGAAATTTAAAATTTAGCAGGTGACTAAAACTGATTGAAACTTGGAAAAAAATAGTATTTTGCTTTGTCAGTTTTTGTAGAAGAAGGTACAGTATGTTCAGAGCATCTTTTGTTGTTGGCATCTGTTAACCATTTTGTTAAAGGCTCATTATGCCTTGGAAATGCTGTCACTTTTAATTCGCAAAAACTGTTTATTTTTGTAATCTTGTTAGTTTCCAAAAAATATACTAATTTGCTACATACATGAACTATGAACTACCTTTTACATCTTTAGCATTGTTGGCAATTGGTATAATTATAGTGAATTAGTATTTTGTATAGAAATCAAAATAGTACTTTGTTTACATTTTGCCATCTTAACAACACATTACTGCATGTTCAGTGCTACTTTTTAGCTCACCTGTCACAAAGTGACAGGGTGAGCTTTTGTGATCGCTTTTCGTCCGGCGTCCGTCTGTCGTCCGTCCGTCCGTCCGTCGTCCGTCCGTAAACTTTTACTTTAAATGACATCTCCTCATAAACCACTAAGCCAATTTCATCCAAACTTCACAGGAATGTTCCTTTGGTGGTCACCTTTAAAAATTGTTCAAAGAATTTAATTCCATGCAGAACTCTGGTTGCCATGGCAACCGAAAGAAAAAACTTTAAATATCTTCTTTTAAAAAAATTATAAGAGCTAGAGCTTAGATATTTGGCATGAAACATCTTCTAGTGAGTGTCTACCAAGTTTGTTCAAATAAAAGCCCTGGGGTCAAAATTGGCCCCGCCCCGAGGGGTCATAGATTTTCCCTATATGCATATAGTAAAAACTTAAAAAATCTTCTTTTAAAGAACTCAAAGAGCTATGGCTAAGATATTGAGCATCAAACATGTTCTAATAGGTGTCTACCAAGTTTGTTCAAATAAAAGCCCTGGGGTCAAAATTGGCCCCGCCCCAGGCGGTCATTGATTTTCCCTATATGCATATAGTAAAAACTTAAAAAATCTTCTTTTAAAGAACCGAAAGAGTTAGAGCTAAGATATTTAGCATGAAACATGTTCTAATAAGTGTCTACCAAGTTTGTTCAAATAAAAGCCCTGGGGTCAAAATTGGCCCCGCCCCGGGGGGTCATTGATTTCCCTATATGGATATAGTAAAAACTTAAAAAATCTTCTTTTAAAGAACTCGAAGAGCTATGGCTAAGATATTTAGCATCAAACATGTTCTGATAGGTGTCTACCAAGTTTGTTCAAATAAAAGCCATGGGGTCAAAATTTGCACCGCCCCAGGGGGTCATTGATTTTCCTTATATGTGTATAGCAAAAACTTAAAAAATCTTCTTTGAAAAAAACCAAATAGCTAGAGTTTAGATATTAAGCATGAAACATCTTCTAGTAAGTGTCTACAAAGTTTGTTCAAATAAAAGCCATGGGGTCAAAACTGGCCCGGCCCCAGGGGTGTCATTGTTTTTAACTATATGTGTATAGTAAAAACTTAAAAACAAAATCTTCTTTTAAAAAGCCCAATGAGCTAGAGCTTAGAAGTTTAGCATGAAACATCTTCTTACGGGTGTCTACCAAGTTTGTGCAAATAAAAGCCCTTGGGTTAAATTGGCCCTGCAACATTGGGGGGGGGGCTTATATACAGGTGAGCAACCTCAGGGCCATCATGGCCCTCTTGTTTTTTTGTTGTTTTTTTTGTTTTGTTTTTTCGAAAATAATTTGTATCAAAGAAAGTATACGCCTATTTTCAATAATCAGTGTGCCTTTATATTCAAACATGAGCCTATTTTTTCGAAGTTCTATAGTATGTTTATTAGTCTATACTAGGTAGTATGTGTAGTGATCCGAATTCATGGTCCTTTACATACCTAACGCCAGCTATAAACATAGCATATTAACTCAGATTTTTCTATTCTAAAATCAATGCATTTGATAAGATGCTTTGTCTGTTTTGCTTCCTCCTATTTTATTTCGGTGTCCTGCTTGGTTCCGTGCCGGTGGTTCTGTGTTGCTGGATTGTGTTGGCTGAGTTTATTAAATGCCGCCATGTTGATCGTTGCTCTCTTATGTGTTGGTCATGCATACTATAAAGAAACCATCAAGTGCTGAGGTTATACAGATGAATGTAAATTTAATATAAGTAATAGGTTTTGTAATGTTTCTGATTATAAGTCTAACAAGGTTATATGAGTACAAAATAATATTCATCTTCGAAATAATTTTATTCCATGAGTATTACAATGATAACAATTAAGTCCGTTTCTAGTCGCTTAATTGATACCATATGTGCCTGTACGTACTGTATACGTAATTGTTGAGGAGAAGTTCTCATTTTACTAATAAATCGGAGCCTTAAGTCGGCGATTAATCGAATAATCTCGTTTTAGAAACTTAACCACTAGTTTTTCGTAAATATTTCTGCGCACATTCAACATAATAGGTTTCAGTACGTTTTTGCCCGCCAAGTAATCGTGCTGTTAATTTCCAATTGATGTTAACGTTGTATAATATGTGGTGTATGTCAACCGATGGTTTGTGCAAATATAAAGGGCGTGGCTTGATTTACTGATGTAGTGTATACTCATCATGTTATAATGTATACAACACACACGTTTTTCCGGTGTGAATCCAATAATTAGAAGTACTTGAATCAATAAATACTTGACATGTCATAATGTGAGGGGATTGGATTCAGGCTTTTTGTTTTCGTGGAAAAAAAACCTACTCATTTTCGTGATTTATGTCATACTGTTTATTTTGCTATTGTGACATAATTGTATAGATATTAATAATGAGAATGTGGGTTTACAAATAACTGGAAAAAGGGTGTTTCTTTGTATATGATATGAACTTAATTCTTACAACAATTCTAAATAGATTTACTTTACAATACATGGTAGGTGCTAAATATATAGTAGTGATACAACAGATAATTATGTCTGATAAAAAGTTGCCCCCTACTGGGGGTTGAACTCACAGCCACAAGTTTCAATGCAGCTGACAGCAGTTCTAGGCTTTTTAACTATTTTTAAAGCGGAATAAATGCATAAGGGGTATACACTATAGGCTTACATTTTCTTATATCATTAACAGCTCAAACTTTTGAATAATTGATAAAAATAATGTGTTTGTAGGACTAATAAGGACTAGCAAGAATAATAAAGTCCTCTATTAAGTACACATGTACTAGCAAGTAAAACTGATAGTTTGTTTGAAAACGATACATACTCTATACCTAAAAATAAGAAAGTACGCTCACAAAATGAGTTAGCAAAGCTTTTATATGTTTTTTTTTCTTCTTTTATATGCGCTCCGTGATAGGCCACAGAATGTGCTTCGTTGTAATATACGCTTACACTACGGAAGGAATGACATCATTTATAAATTTTGTGTGAATATTTTTTTTTCCTGAAAAATTATATGAAAGATAAATGAGCATGATATTTACTTATTCGCATACTGTACAATATGACCGAATAAAGAACACGCAGCTCAACAGGTTTTACAGTTGTAAAAGTATTTCTTATTGTGCAATATAATCGCTAGCATTACGTTTCGTGATCAATGTTGTCAGTGACATATCATCATCATCAATGGCATTCAGGTGCGTCTTTAAAGATCCTATAACTCAATTCTTTTATGGTTTATCATAAATATAAGCTCAAATGAAGATTTATCAATATTGTAAGTTCCAAAAAGAATTATTTGTAAAGATATTACCGTATTTACATTTCATATTAATAAAGGGACGTAATTAGAAATTTATTTTCTATAAAGTCTTAAGTCAACGTTTTCAAAACGAAATGAATGCATACATTTTAATGATTACATATAAATTAAATGTAGACAAAAATCTGCAGTACATTTTTTACATATTCTTCGATTTTTGAAAATTGTTTTAGAAGCATAGTTATATACCTATAAAAAATTTCTCTTAAGTGTGGTAACAACCTTAATGATAACATACATGCAAGATCTTTAAAGTGTCTTTTATCCGAGGTATCATTAGTAATCATTTCATAACATCTCTGGACCAAAGGGGTCCGACACACTTTGGTGTGTTCATATAGTGTAATTAACTTACACAAGCAATTTGACAAAAAATATATGGACAAATATTTTATATAGAGACTTTATAAAATATAAGTCCATATATTTTTTTGTCAAATTGCTTGTGTAAGTTAATTACACTATATGAACACACCCAAATGTGTCGGACCCCTTTGCCCTGGACTTCCTCGAATCTTGACATAATAATAATAATGATGATAATAATGATGATGATGATGATGATGATGATGATGATGATGATGATGATAAACACTTTATTTTATGATGGTAACATATTAAGAAATACATGTCTTATTTACAATATGGTCTTCAATTAAACAAGATAAAGAAAATCACAGTATGTACACACATATAAAAATATAAACAACATACATTTACTCGTAAATTGACAGACACATGCATTCACCAGAATCATTTTAATTGTAAATTAAGTAAAAAGTTTTTCATATTTCTTTAAAAAAACATATAGAGAGGAAGATTCTTTAATAAATAAATGTAAATTATTCCAAACTTGCATAGCTTTATTTCTAAAAGATATTTTAACATATTTTGTATTAGGTTATACATGTATTATGTTTTATTAGTAAGTTGATGTAAGTGTATATGTTTCATTTTTCGAGAACACTAGGATATCTGGAATTTAGAACAAGTCAATCCTTGTATAGATATTAATAATGCAGCATTATACGTGCATCTATTTTCAAAAGTTAATCAGTTTAATTCAAGGAAAATTTGTAAAGGTGGCGTTTTAACTAGTTTACACAATATAATCTTTGCTGTGCATTTCTGCAGTTTATTCATTTTTTTCAAATTCAGTTCTGTTGCAAGTAAAATCTATATAATACAACCATAATGAAAACAAGGTAAAATATAGGCATTCTAAAACATTTGTGTCAGCGAATAAAAAGTACGATATACGCTTTAAGAGAGCAATTTGTTTTTGTAATTTATTACAGACATGCTTTATTTGGATATTTCATTTCAAGTTTTCATCTAATTACATGTAAATACCAAATTATTTCCGTGATATCGTTTGACTCAGGCGTGTACCTTCTATATTTATATCTAATGAAGGTTTGGATTTTAATTTGTTTTCTGATCCAATAATTACATTAGGCGTTGACAAAAAAGCTACTGTTTTATCACAGTAATTCAAAATGATACTTAAAGCAAAATCATACGTATTATTTTTAAATGTCCCTACTTAACTTGATATTATTTTACTTTTGTTTCAACAAAACATTTGAGCCGTGCCATGACAAAACCAGCATAGTGGGTTTGAGACCAGCATGGATCCAGACCAGCCTGATCCTCCGCACAGTCTGATCAGGATCCATGCTGTTCGCTATCAGTTTCACTACTTGTAATAAGGTTTGTAAGCGAACAGCATGGATGCTGATCAGACTGCGCGGAGGCGCAGGCTGGTCTGGATCCATGCTGGTCGCAAACACATTACGTTGGTTTTGTCGTGGCGCGGCTCATTTGTATTTGTTTGATTTACAATTTCATGGTTTACGTTGATCAAGAAGTTCGTAAATAATACTTTAAAACTTGTGAACATGGAAAAAAGATATTACATTTCAAATGAGAGCACTCGTTATGTTCCTTTTTAAGTTTATCACTCAACATATTAGAAATGCCATAGAAAGCATAAACATTAACAATAATAATATTCGGTGTTTTCAGCGACCAGTTCGTGCTCTATAAAAAACAAGGCACACATTCTTGACATGTCAATACCAACCTTCGTGGCACAGCTTGGAGAGTATATGTTATTAGATCATAACGTTACAAAGGTTTTAGAAGATGTAAGGGATACGGTTGTTAAAGAGGTAAAAAAAAAATTATTATTATTAAGAGTTTTAGAGATAAAAACAACAATATTTTCCTTTCATTTTTGTTTAAAATTACAGATATAAATCGTTATACAGTTTGGTTTGTTCTGTAAATGCAGTTGATGCAGCTCTTGCATCTTAAGGTTTGCTTTTAATTTCAGCTTATGAAAGACCTTGCAGACAAACTTGGCGAAATAGGGAAAGAGTTTAAAAATAAAGTAGATTTCTGTGTTAGTGCAAATATTCCTGTTCCACCGTTTGACATAGTATTCTTCGATGTTCGACAACATTTCATGGTTGGACCTGTTCCTCTCTCGCTAGGTATATTATTTTATATAACTATTTATTGTTGTAGTCTGTTGCGCCTTCATAATTTGAGCCGCGTCACGACAAAACCAACATAATGGGTTTGCGACCAGCATGGATCCAGACCAGCCTGCACATCCGCGCAGTCTGATCAGGATCCATGCTGTTCGCTTACCAACCCTATAACAAGTAGAGAAACTGATAGCGAACAGCATGGATTCTGATCAGACTGCGCGGATGCGCAGGCTGGTCTGGATCCATGCTGGTCGCAAACGCATTATGTTGGTTTTGTCCTAACACGGCTCATTTCCTAAAACTATGGTAAGTTCCCGGTATAACTCTGCTCCAATTCCAAATTAGGGGAATTCATCGGAGTAAAGTATTTAAAAAATTTATTTTTACAGTCATGCTCATCATATCTTTAGGTTGATCATAAGTAATATATAACGACTAACTTGGTAAAAAACATTGTAGTAACATTTCCCATGGCTTGTAGGAGACCCCCTTTAATCGAAAGGTCATTTGGTCAAGGTCACAACTTAAGAAAAAGAACAAGTCTTATTTCCCTGTCAAAGATGTTTTTTAAACTCATCAGTTATTACACATAATTATTATCATTATTGTTATTATTGCTATTATTATTATTATTATTATTATTATTATTATTATTATTATTATACTTGACTTTTATGAAATATGCCTTAGTACGTAAATATGCCAGTAGATACGGATGTCTGCAAAATGTTATAGTGCATTTTTTCTTGAACAATCTCTCAAGTTAAAAACAAGGATAATATATATGATACATAAAATATGAGGAGTTTCGGGAAATTCATTTATAGTTATTTAAATTGTGCGATAGAAAAAGAATCGTATATGTTCACTATGTATACAACTTTTTTTGTATAGCACTTGAAACCTTATGTAAACGTTATTGTTATTGCATAACAAGCTGATAAAATGTCACAGACTTTGGTGATTTTTCATATGTCTAACACTGTTGAAACAAAAATGAATCTAATTTGGTTATTTGATTACATTCACAGGATTTGGTGCTGGTGGAAGTGTCGGTTTGGGTGTTAAAGTTGGACTTTGTGTACTCAGTATGACAACACAGGTAAAACTATGACCAAATTTGTAGTAAAGCGATGATTAAAGCTATGTTTGATAATAGAAGAATGTACAAATTTTAATTTGATTGAGATTACTTAATAAATTGAATTTAAAAAGAAAAACAGAAAGACTCGAACTTGTTTTTATTATTTTTTTCCCGGTATGAAACATTTAAGTGTAATCATGAAGACACAGTAGCATCGCATCTTGGATATAAGTATTAAAACAAAGGTAAAGATCAAAGCAACAAAGGAACATGCGTATTATTTGATTTCATGATATCGATTAGGCCTAAAGCTGATGCACCGAATTGTAAAATGTTATGATAAGAACTTATTTTAAAGATCTGCATTGGCGACTACGGAATCTAAAATACGATCATTATTTATTGGTATACATGTAATGCCTTTATTATAACATTTTCTTTACGGAAAATTAACACAATTCAAAACAAAATATTATATTAAATCAAAGCAACATACATTTATTATGACTTTGCATTTTTATTTTATCAGTTAACTTTGACACCCTGGGTAGGTGGTAAAGTGTGGGGCGATGCCGCTGTTGACATATTCATTGCAAGGGGAGGAATACGTTTAATAGGATATTTAATGGAAACCAAATTCCCCATGACAACAGAACTTGTCTTCTCAAAATATCCTATTGATGTCGGGTATGATTTTTTAAACCATAAATAAAAGGTATGAAATACCGATAAATGTTGGTAATAGTCTGTCGAAAAGTAGTTCCATTAGCAGGGCATTTATTAAGAATCAATACTTCAAAAATATACTTTGCAATTGAGCTTTTGATATTGTATAATTATGAAGAAAAATAAAATTAGTTGTTTACATTTAAAATAAATTTGGTTCGGTAACTTTTATTTCTCGACAAGATTTGATCCTTAGGGTATCCGATGAAAAGGTAAAATGTTTATGTTCATTTTAAGTACCAGTCTTCCTTTTTTGTGCATTACAGGGCAAAAATGGACATGGTGTTAACACCTCTGCGTCTTCAGCTAAAAGCTTTTGCAGAGTTAAATCTTCTCTTTACGCGGGTGACCGTGTTTGAAGGTCTGCTTTGGGAATATTCTGTTCCAACAATCCGCAAAAATATTTTCCACAAGAAGAAACGAGATGACGACCCTTCTCCTCCTGCAGTTTTACCTAATACTATTAATGAAAGGAGAAAAAGGTCTGGAACTAGAGGATGTATTGTACAACAAGTTTTCGGAAGACCGTACTACGATCCAGCTTTTAGAATAGAAATGCACGCACAAGATGAGGTCAGTGAGGTAAAATTATTCTATGCGATTGGAACACATCGTGGTGGAACAAACCTCGTTGACTGGACTGATATGGGAGGTAATTCGCTCATGGTACCGTCAAAACTTCCGGGAGGAATACCTTTATACTGGTCAGTCAAGGCACAAAATAGTCAAGGCTTGTCTTCGATAAGTCAATGTTTCCTAAACACATATGATAGCACCCTGCCAGACGGAAGAGTGGAACATCCTTACAAGTTTTCTAGTCATCCAAATAAAATCATAGCGTCAGTCGTAGCCTTTGAAGACAGTCCATTGGTAGAAACACACTACAAAGCTGTAGGTTTTAGTCCCGGACAATTTGGGTCTCAATTTGTGGATTGGCAGGTGCTTCGACTTGATCATTCTACAACACGAAATGGAGTAAACGGTGCGTTAAAACATTTCACAATTCCTAGGGAGGGAAAGTTGGTGGCATGGATTCTAACGTCGAAGAATACCCCTGATGCAGAGGCGTGTGCTCAGATATGCATTAGCTATGGATCGAACTGTGTGTCCTTTGACTATGAACATCACTCGGAGACATGTGACTTACATGATGTTGTACAAGGTGCTAATGCTTACCTACGCATAAGTGGTACATACAGTAACTACGAAAGACTTGGTAGTGGTTATCATACACCAATAGAATATTCTGGTTTGCCGCTGACACATGGTTCAACATACTTTTGTTAACACAAAAGTTAGGAACGTTCTAGGCTATGATGCTTATCTTGTAGGCGAAGGAACAATGGTAGATTTTACTCCACCTGAACCTGGTATAATTAAGAATGCACGTCAAGATATCTTACGGGCTGATAAATGTAACGCAGCTGTAACCCAGCAATGTATCGACGTCACTTGGGAAAACAATCATAGGTAAAATGCATTGAATTATATTCTTTAAGGAAGTATGTGTTGTGCACTTTGAATCGCAAGGCTTTTACGTGTTTACATTATTTTTTAAATATGAATTACTTAATGTTACATAGATCAATATCATCACTTCGAATGAACTATGAAGGAACTATCCGTAAATTAAGACATGAATTATATGTTGAATTCCTATAATTTATGTTTTTTGTTTAGAATAATCATAGATGGTAAAGGCTCGGGCACAGTTTTCAACGGACACAAGCCTTTGTTTGACGAACTTTACACTCTGACTAATCATTATGTGTCAGGTAAGTCTTGAGTAGAAAACATTCGCGTATCTATAATATGACTGCAAACCATTTATTGTAATAGAAGTGAAACTTGCATAAATAGATAAATAGATAAAGTACAGGCATTATGAAAGGTTATTGCATCTTAATGGACCTTTATTACAAATATGGACATCTAAAAGTCGCTTCATTTAGGTATTTATGACATTACTTGAAGAAAAATATTTTTCGAGATTTATATTTGGGTTTAAGTTTTTTATCATTCGCTCATTCCGTTTTTAAAGATTATTTTTCTCTCAAAATGACCTGAATGAAAAACGTATAAATGATTTAAACTTAAAATCGGACTAAGAATTGTACTTAAAATCAATTTTGTGTCCGAGTATACACGTATATCTTTATTTTCATTTCCTTATTTTACCGTTTTGTGAGCGAGCTCTATTTGAGCTATGTAAAATATTCAAACTATGTTTTTAAAGTTTTGTCCTCATTGGAGGGTCTATTACAAAATGTTACTGATACTATGATCAAAGCTTAACATTGATATGTTTTAACAATTAAGAAAAAGTATGTCCCAGAGGTTGCAACTTAGAATCGAAACGATTTAAAATTGCATTCATATGTTTGTGCAGCCAACTGGAAAGGCTTCCACGATGACGAAAGCGGATTGTGGGGATTTACATGGGCCGTCGGAAGAAATGTTTGCGGCACAGATGTTGTCAAATTCAATGACCCTTATGCACATTTAACAAGCAAGAAATTCTGGACAGATTCTGGATTTCATAAAGGGATTCATTTGGAAGACGGTCATTACTATGTAACAGTGCAAGCTTTAAATGGTGCAGAACTTGGTGGATCACTTGTTACGACAGTATGCCATTCTACTCCATTCACCGTTGATACAACTCCTCCTGTTTTTAACGGTGTAACAGATATCATTTACGATGAGGATTTTGACCTTATTGCTATATACTATAACGCCACAGACGAGCTTTCTAAAATATCTGACGCTGAATTCGGTCTCGGTAAAACTAAGTATGACGTGCAGTTAAAGCCATACAGTCTCCATGCATCAATGGACAGGGATGATCCTTTCGTAGCTGTAGAAGAGCTTGGTTTACAAGAGGGAATACCAGCATGGATTCGTATTAGAGTAACAAATAATGGTATATTCCGCTTATTATAACTATATTAAAGTTGTTTGACTTTAGATTTAATGGGTGTCTTATAATTGATGTCTTATGATTTATTTCTTGATAATTTAATTCACAAATGACGTCACTTGTAAGTATAAGTTAGATGTACACATGTCTGTAAATGCTTTTGATTTTAGTTGAACTATTCACGGCTGGACACGGAGATGAACCAATACTGATAGACAAGTCTCCACCAATTTCTGGTAATGTTCTAGATGGAGAACGTCTCGGTAATGACAGAGCTTTTCAGGCAGACGATGATGAAATATGTGCTCAATGGATTGACTTTTTTGATCCAGAGTCAGGACTAGATAGGTAATCGAATTCATTTTAAATGATTTTATTACGTACATTTACCATGCTGATATATCTTTACATATTTTTTTGTATTTAAAACGCCAATCTATACATGTATTTTAATTTGATTTTAGTAAAAATGAGGAAGCTTTTGACTCCTAAAGAATAATATAAAAAGTGTCACATAGAATATAATTTGATTATTTTTTTTTTTCATATAATCATTTATTTTCATTTCTGTTTTATTTTGCCAACATAAAGATTCCTATGGGGTGTTGGTACCAAACCTGGCGACGACAATATTGTAAAGTTCCATAATCTGACAAGATACAAGAAATCAGCATGCACGAATGCAAGTTTAGCTCATAACCGGGTGTATTACTCTACAGTGTTTGCTTACAATAATGCTTTAAATTCAAAGTCAGCAAATAGTTCTTCCGATGGAGGTACACGTAGTTATAAATTATTCTTGATACAAACTTAAGTAAAGTTGTCTTACATTCCCTATAATAATCATACATGGACTCATTCTAAATGACAGAGAAACTCATTTGGAAATGAAGATTCTTAAAGTTAAGTTTTTGTCATAAAGATATTCCATCAACTTTTGTTTCCTGAAGGATTTTTTCTTCAAAATACTTCACATTTTTCAAATGTTTATTTACAGTTCTTGTTGATGTGACACATCCGATAGCTGGCCACGTAAAAGATGGTAAAACTTACGGAGGTGAACTTAATTTTAGTTCAGAAACAGTTTCCAAGTTTTTAAATTGGAATGCTTATTACGACCCAGAAAGTGGTATTGATCACTACAAGGTAGATGTTGTCATAAATAACGAGAAAAGAGGAACATTTGACGCTGGAAATGCAACGGAATTTGAAGATCATACAATATCGATGGAACATAAAGATAAAGTTAAATTTACTGTCCATGGCGTAAATGGTGCTGATCTTGAAAATGCATCAAAAAGCAATGGTTTTGATGTGGATTTGACATCGCCTATTCTTAAAGGTCAATTATTTTATTGTTAAAATGTAGTATAAAAATCACACTTATACAACAATAGTAAAACATGTATATATACTCCTTCCTTTAAATAAGTTTATATCAATCTAAAGACTATCAATTATTCACTGGTAAATCATAAACTTGATCAGATTAAGATGCAATCAAATTTGATAACAATATCATCTAAGTATACACTTATTTCACCATGCTATATTGTAGGAATAACCGATAATGATAAAGCCGCGGCGTACCAAAGTAACAATGAAAGATTGGATGTCATGTTTGAATTTCAAGATATCGAGTCAGGCATTAAGGAATACAGAGTTGTCATTTATGAAACAAGATATGGTGTAAAGCAGAAATTCTGGCCAAAGGACAGCCAGTACAATATATATAACCCCGCTTCACCTTCGAGTACGAAAATATCTTCTTCTGTTGATGGGTTATCATTGAGAGATGGTGCGTCATATTCATTGCATGTGACAGCACTTAATAGGGCACTTTTGGCATCCTCGCATGAGACTAATGGTGTAACAGTTGATACAACTCCGCCACAGAAACCAAAAGTAAATTGTTTTGTTTTCAATGATTATTATTATCTCTTTCCCTTTTAAAGGTTATGAAGCTATCTTCAAAAGGTAATATTATGTTGTTATAAGCATACGCTTATTACTGATTCTCGATACTGCCGTAACATAGAATGTTTTGATATATGACAGACATGATAATGTACGCAAACAGAAAAAAGTTGTTTGGTAACATATTAAATATTATGCTTCATTCTTATGCTTTGAACAGTTTGGCAAAAGTTTCATGCGTGCAGCATTAGCTTAAAGAAAATATATACCAAAATATTTCTTTTATACAGGCATTCGTTTCCAAAACTCAAATATTTCTTAAACTGCAGGCATTCTTAGAGGCAATCTTTTAACAAAGGAGTGAGAAGAATATATTAAGATATAATAAACTTGTTCATCTTTGTCCTTTGTGACACTTGGTAGGAAATCACACATTGATAAACGAATTTACCTGTGCAGTATACATTTTGACATATGTAGTTTTTAGATTTACTTTGTATACAAGTCAATCAACATTTTCCAAAATGTTATGCCAAGTTTAACAGAACTACTGTTGCCAAGTGACCTGTTGCATATTTTAAGGGCTATGGTCCTATTCCATGTCCTGTTTTTGCTTGGTATCCTGTTTTACTCCATGTCGATAGTCGTCTGTTGCTTATTTTTGGTAGAGAATGTCATCCATTGACTGTCGTCATTATTGGCTTCTGTTTTCTTATTTTGAATTTGATCATTTTCTTTTTTCACATTATAATAGAATATACTAAGTTTTTTTCTTCCATGTGTAACATCTTACTTGTCCATCAAATGTCAAAATGAATCTCATCTATCCCTATCATATTTTTTGAATTCCAATTAAGTTTTTCACTGAACCATTGTCTCAAAGTGTTCTAGCGAATTTTGTCGGCGTCCAATGAAACGTGTCCAGTTTTATTATATTTCACTATAGATTCTGACATGTTCCATTTGTTATTTTGAAATTGCGAAACAAGTTCTTGCAACTTTATATATTAATCACTCGAATGCAACTTAGTAGGATGGAGAAAATAAGAATTCCTAAAGAAAGCCCAACACGGCAAAAAATTGAAAATGTTGCAGGCTCGGTTTGAGCACCGGCTTAAGTAGAATTTAACATTCAACATAAACTGGTACAATTTTGAATTTTGAAACATTCGCAGATGAGTTCATATGGCGGTTATCATGGAAACTTCAATGTGACACGTAAGTGCCAAAAAAGCAACAAATGGTCCCCAATCAAAAAAAATGCGCGTGCCCTAAAAGAGAAAACAATGGTAGGAACTAAATAAAATCGAATTTTGAAAGGGGATCGGAGGTTATGAAGCCTGCATATCACAGATAAGACGTCAAAAGACAATTTAAAACATCTTTAAGGATCGGAAAAATAACATTTTGGATTGAATGTACGGGGCGAGCTTTTACAGCCTCCACACGGCACAAACAACGTTGTTAATGTTGATAACCGAATTGGGTTCGAACCCATCATCTCTGGACTGAGAGGCAGACACATAAGCCACTAGACCACCGCTTACCTTTAAACCATTTCTTCAAGGCAGAAAACA